GATGTGGTGATGTCATGGGTGTTTGTTGTGTTGTTGTGGTGATGTCATGGGTGTTTTGTTTGTGTTGTGGTGATATCATGGGTGTTTGTTGTGTTGATGGTGATGTCATGGGTGTTTGTTGTGTTGTTGTGGTGATGTCGTAGGTGTTTGTTGTGTTGTTGTGGTGATGTCATGAATGTTTTGTTGTGTTGTTGTGGTGATGTCATGGGTGTTGTTGTGTTGATGTGGTGATGTCATGGGTGTTTGTTGTGTTGTTGTGGTGATGTCATGGGTGTTTGTTGTGTTGTTGTGGTGATGTCATGGTGTTTGTTGTGTTGTTTGTGGTGATGTCATGGGTGTTTGTGTTGTTGTGGTGATGTCATGGGTGTTTGTTGTATTGTTGTGGTGATGTCATGGGTGTTTGTTGTGTTGTTGTGGTGATGTCATAGGTGTTTTGTTGTGTTGTTGTGTGGTGATGTCATGGTGTTTGTTGTGTTGTTGTGGTGATATCATGGGTGTTTGTTGTGTTGATGTGGTGATGTCATGGGTGTTTGTTGTGTTGTTGTAAGTGATATGTCATGGGTGTTTGTTTGTGTTGTTGTGGTGATGTCATGGGTGTTTGTTGTGAGTGATGTCGTGGGTGTTTGTTGTGTTGTTGTGGTAAATGTCATGGTGTTTGTTGTGTTGTTGTGGTGATGTCATGGGTGTTTTATTTGTGTTGTTGTGGTGATGTCATGGGTGTTTGTTGTGTTGTTGTGGTGATGTCATGGGTGTTTGTTGTGTTGTGTGAGCCATGGGTGTTTGTTGTGTTGTTGTGGTGATGTCATGGGTGTTTGTTGTGGTGATGTCATGGGTGTTTGTTGGGTGTGGTGATGTCATGGGTGTTTGTTGTGTTGTTGTGTGGTGATGTCATGGGTGTTTGTTGTGGTGATGTCTTAGGTGTTTGTTGTGTTGATGTGGTGATGTCATGGGTGTTTGTTGAGTTGTGGTGATGTCATGGGTGTTTGTTGTGGTGATGTCATGGGTGTTTGTTATGTTGATGTGGGTGATCGCCATGGGTGTTTGTTGTGATGATGTCATGGGTGTTTATTGTGTTGATTCTGTGGTGATGTCATGGGTGTTTGTTGGGTTGTGGTGATGTCATGGGTGTTTGTTGTGTTGTTGTGGTGATGTCATGGGTGTTTGTTGTGTTGTTGTTGTGGTGATGTCATGGGTGTTTGTTGTGTTGTTGTGGTGATGTCATGGGTTGTTTGTTGTGTTGTTGTGGTGATGTATCATGGGTGTTTGTTGTGTTGTTGTGGTGATGTCGCTGGGTGTTTGTTGTGTTGATGGTGATGTCATAGGTGTTGTTGAGTTGTGGTGATATCATGGGTGTTTGTTGTGTTGATGTGGGTGATGTCATGGGTGTTTATTTGTGTTGTGGTGATGTCATAGATTATTTGTTGTGGTGATGTCATGGGTGTTTGTTGTGTTATTTGTGGTGATGTCATGGGTGTTTGTTGTGTTGTTGTGGTAGTATCATGGGTGTTTGTTGTGTTGTTGTGGTGATGTCATGTGGTGTTTATTTGTGTTGTTGTGGTGATGTCATGGGTGTTTGTTGTGTTGTTGTGGTGATGATGTCATGGGTGTTTTGTTGTGTTGTTGTGGTGATGTCATGGGTGTTTGTTGTGTTGATGTGGTGATGTCATGGGTGTTTGTTGTTGGGTTGTGGTGATGTCATGGGTGTTTGTTGTGTTGATGTGGTGATGTCATGGGTGTTTGTTGGGTTGTGGTGATGTCATGGGTGTTTGTTGTGTTGATGTGGTGATGTCATAGGTGTTTGTTGAGTTGTGGTGATATGTGGGTGTTGTTGTGTTGTTGGCCAAGGTGATGTCATGGGTGTTTGTTGTGTTGATGTGGTGATCATGGGTGTTTGTTGTGTTGTTGTGGTGATGTCTTGGGTGTTTATTTGTGTTGATGTGGTGATGTCATGGGTGTTTGTTGTGTTGATGTGGTGATGTCATGGGTGTTTTGTTGTTGTGTGATGTGGTGATGTCATAGGTGTTTGTTGTGTTGTTGTGGTGATGTCATGGGTGTTTGTTGTGTTGTTGTGGTGATGTCATGGGTGTTTGTTGTGTTGTTGTGGTGATGTCATGGGTGTTTGTTGTGTTGATGTGGTGATGTCATGGGTGTTTGTTGTGTTGATGTGGTGATGTCATGGGTGTTGTTGTGTTGTTTGGCTGGTGATGTCTTGGGTGTTGTTGTGTTGTTGTTGTGGTGATGTCATGGGTGTTTGTTGTGTTGTTGGTGATGTCATGGGTGTTTGTTGTGTTATTTGTGGTGATGTCATGGAGTGTTTGTTGTGTTGATGTGGTGATGTCATGGGTGTTTGTTGTGGTGATGTGGTGATGTCATGGGTGTTTGTTGTGTGTTGATGTGGTGATGTCATGGGTGTTTGTTGTGTTATTTGGTGATATCATGGGTGTTTGTTGTGTTGTTGTGGTGATGTCATGGGTGTTTGTTGTGTTGATGTGGTGATGTCGTGGGTGTTTGTTGTGTTGTGGTGATGTCATGGGTGTTTGTTGTGTTGTTGTGGTGTCATGGGTGTTTGTTGTGTTGTTGTGGTGATGTCATGGGTGTTTTTGTGTTTATGTGGTGATGTCATGGGTGTTTGTTGTGTTGTGGTGATGTCATGGGTGTTTGTGGTGATGTCATGGGTGTTTTTTGTGTTTATGTGGTGATGTCATGGGTGTTTGTTGTCCTGGTCACACCCGAAAAGTGTACTGTGATGATGGGTCGTGGTATAAACTCATTTTTGTACATAAAATTGTAATTAAATTAACATTACTGACCGGTAGTTGTAATAACAGTGACGTAACACTTAACAGGTGTGTGTATATTACTGTATGCTGACACAAACACAGTTCTCATTATTTAGCACATCCGTGTGGTAACGTCAGCAAGAGTTGGCCAACCAGGATAACATAGCGATAAGATAACATATAATGACGGTTTGGGTATGCTGGTCGTTATCAGCTGTTGTCAATACTGTACTGTACTTGTGTGATCCCTCCCTCTCCCTACCCTTCCTCCTACCCTTCCTTTACTCCCTACCTCCCTCTCCCTACCCTTCCTCCTACCCTTCCTTTACTCCCTACCTCCTCCCTACCCTCTTCCTCCTCACCTTCCCTTACTCCCAACCCTTCCTCCTACCCTTCCTTTACTCCCCTACCCCTCCTACCCCTTCCTTTACTCCCTCACCCTTCCTCCTACCCTCCTTTACTCCCTACCCTTCCTCCCACCCTTCCTTTTACTCCCCACCCTTCCTCCTACCCCTTCCTTTTACTCCCCACCCTCCCACCCTTCCTTACTCCCCTACCCTTCCTCCTACCCCTTCCTTTACTCCCACCCTCCTCCCACCCTTCCTTTACCCCTACCCCTCCCACCCTTCCTTACTCCCCACCCTTCCTCCCACCCTTCCTTTACTCCCTCACCCTTCCTCCCTACCCTTCCTTTACTCCCTACCCCTTCCTCCTACCCTTCCTTTACTCCCTACCCTTCCTCCTACCCTTCCTTTACTCCCTACCCTTCCTCCACCCTTCCCTTTATTCCCTACCCTTCCTCCCACCCTTCCTTTACTCCCTACCCTTCCTCCTACCCTTCCTTCCCCTACCCTTCCTCCTACCCTTCCTTTACTCCCTACCCCTTCCTCCCACCCTTCCTTTTACTCCCCACCCTCCTCCTACCCTTCCTTTACTCCCACCCTTCCTCCTACCCTTCCTTTACTCCCTACCCTTCCTCCTACCCTTCCTTTACTCCCCTACCCCTTCCCTTCTCCCTACCCTTCCTCCCTACCCTTCCTTTTACTCCCCTACCCTTCCTCCCACCCTTCCTTCTTTACTCCCTACCCTTCCTCCCTACCCTTCCTTTACTCCCTCACCCTTCCTCCTACCCTTCCTTTACTCCCCTCTACCCTTCCTACCCTTCCTTTACTCCCTACCTCCCTCTCTCCTTTCTAGTAAATGCAAGATAGTTAATATTTTAGTACAGATATATTACTTGTACTTGTTTTACTACTACTATTAATACACACACACATCATAAAGTTGTAAATGGTTCATATACAGAGCAGGTATAAAAACTATGCCAATCAATTAAGTCTATACAAGCAAGGATATCCCCAAGAAATCCTTTAAATATATTCATTTCATCACCATAAATATTATTAATTCATTGTCAGATGAAGTTATTATCATAGATTTTTTTTACAGGTATTAAGTTGAACAGGATTTTTTTTTCCTGTGATTAATGTTAAGTGTCCTTCGTTTGTTTTTCTGCTTTTTTTTATTTATTATTCCGTTTTCTAGTTTCGTTTGTGTGTGTGTGTTTTAGTCTTGTCTTCATTAGTTACCATGGATGATGATAATTAAGATAAAATCACACCAAGACGCTGGAGAGGTAAACATAGATTTTTGTGTATTATTCGTTTTCGTTAGTTAAATACCATAAACTGATGAGGGTTTAGTAACGTCGTGTTTTGTTCGTATATATTGGTGCGGAACACACCTAAAAACAGTAAGATGATAATTAAGTTAATGACTGAGAAATCACACCTTGGAGTTATAGACGCTAGCAGATGTCGTAAAACCATGCCAGATTTTCCAGTGGTGTTATTATTCGTTTTCTCGTTAAGTTAAAATGCCATAAACTGATAGAGTGGTTTAGGTAACGTCGTGTGTGTGTTTTTGTTCTCGTTATAAGGTTGTGTTAGTGGGTTTATTGAGGTGCTCGGACACACTACCTTTAAAACACCAGTAGCACTTGGCTAGCTAACAAAGCAACTCCCTTAAAGTTTATAATAATCATCATGAGGTTAATTTTATACACGCTACAGTTAGATCATGTATGTATTGATTATTCTATCGATATGTAACTACTCATGTACTGTGAATTATATAAAATTGAAGGATGGTTGCCAGGGAGCTAGTTTGATGGGCGGAGGACTGACGTTGGTGCGCACGGCGGCGTCAGAGGCCTCGAGTCGACGGCTCAGTGTAAACAAGTCTCTGGAGGGGGTAGGACGCGAGCTGAGATCTCGTAGTGTACAAATTTTATCTGTGATATTGAAAGGGGCACATTTGCCTAGATCTCTTATGAAACAACATATCTAGGCCTCTCTTTGTGCCATGAGAGGCCAGCCACAAGGATCACTCTAAAAGAAGACCATTTTTACTATTGACTTGTTCTCTATGCCGTCGACCGAGCTCTCCGCTTTGTCCAACAACCTCCTCCCTCATTATTCTCTTTGCTAATCATGAACAACAAACACGGCAAGATGCAGTAATTTACAAATAATTTGGCAGGTATGTGTGTCCCAGGCAGTGTTAAGCTTGAAAACTCGGGTAATATTGTAGTTTTTTTTTCTTGGAAGGGGGGGGGGGGTGTTGTATCTACATCCTGGTTATGTTGAAGTTTTTATCTTATCGTCAGTTGTTCATACGGTAGTTTAAGCGTCACGTGTAGTTGGCAATGTACTGAAATACTTGAATGGACAATTACAAAATATTTACTCTAGCTACCCCGCAACATGTCGCTGGTGGCTCTTGACACAACTTATATTGGTATATTTTAAAACATGTGGACGTGTAGTCTGGCAAAAAGAAATGTAGTGTTAACAAATGTTTATTGCTTCCTGGGAATTCTAGAGAATTAAAGATTTCAGTAAGTTGTTATATGATGTCTTCTAGAATTAGTGTGAGGATGAATGTATGCCACGGAGATATATTGTGTTAGTACTAAGTGTAAGTAAGATATTGTACTTAAGTGTTTGTTTATATTGGCAGGTGGTGCAGCTGTGTGGTGTGGGTTGGGTATAGAGCGAGCTGGTACTGGGGTAGATGGCGTGCGCACAGTCTCCTGTGACGGGTTCCTCGGAGAGGGGCCAGGACCTACTGACGCCCCTGCTGGAGGCCCTAGCCCTCGAGCCTAAATACCAGCCCTCCTTGGCACTCCCGCTCACTGCCAAAGTAAGTCAACGATTTTTAAGGTGTTATTGATTATTGTATGTCCATCTTTAAGTTGTCAGTAAGTCATTCGTAGGTAGTTGAGTTGCTGTAGGGAACTGTTCGTTTACCTTGGCTATTATACAAGTGCTCTAGATTGACAGCAGAACGACTGGCTTGTTCACCGTTTACATACATTCTTTACCGTGGGAAGAGTGTACAGTATTTGCAAGGTTTATTCCTGGTGATTTGTTACCAAGCTCTGTGATGTGTGTATGGTTCTGTAACCGGGGTTCATCAGGTACTATGAATAACTTAAAAGTCGAGTTGGTATCCGACGTCGCCTCCCTCCTTGGGTTGGTTGTGTGGCTGACGCAACCATCCACACAAAAACGGACGTTAAAGGTGAGACAGCGATAAAGTTGTTGAAACCCATAACACTTTACCTGAAGCTCTGGTGAATGGAGGAGAGCATCGATACAGTCGCTAGCATTAAAACATTGAAGTGAACAAAGGATGGGTTTACTGTCTGAGGCACCATTTTCAAAATTAAAGAGCTAGACACAGCCAACAAGGCGCAGATTCCTCCCCCCCTCTTCGCTCCCTCCCGTTCCCCGCCAGCCCACCCCTCCCTCTCTCTCACTCCCTTTGTCGTGTCCGTAATCGATCTTGGGACTGATGTTTCACGCGTTTTTAAATAAGATGTACTGTAATACCCACGAACACTTAGAAGAAAGTAAAACTACCTGTAGTATCAAGTTAATGAGTGATTTCCCGTCTTGTTCATCATTGCTGTTTATACTCCGGCCATCCTCCTCACCCCCCCTTCCCTCTTCCTCCCCACTAAATTCTTTTCTTCCAGCGCGTCAGGTCAATGTAAATATCAAAATGAAGGTTATATTAAAAGTGAAATAACAATGGCTTTAAATTAATGTCAGAAGTTGAATACAACACGCTAAAGGTTGTGTTTGAAGAGAAAAGATGACATTTGTGGGTCCCCCCAGCGGGCCTCCGTCAGCATCTGCCAGTATTGCCAACCTTACGCTCGCCCCGCCCAGTGACGTAGTGTGATATTTTTAGTGGTGAATTACTTGCACAGTTAGCGAATGTTTGAATCCAGAGAACATTTAAATTATATGACCAAAATAATCCATTTAGCTGCATTGTGTTGTACACCATAGTAATGTGCGTTACCCATCAGTGGATAAGTGATGCAGTTGTCAGACATGGTAGATGTTAGGGGTAGGATAGCAGTGTCACGGTTGCCTTTATAATTACAGTACTTTGGGTAAATGCTGCTACGTTTTGTGCGAAAAATTGAAGGCATAATCAATTGTCAATTTTGGTCCATATTGCATGAGGGTTAGGACCAACTACAGTTCAGTATGTGGGTTAGGATTCGACCATGTTGTTGACTTCATTGGCATGTTAGTAAACTGAGGCATGCAACTCTTAAGTAGGGCGATCTACCAAAGACAGATTTGTGATATATGACCCGCTATAAACTCTAGTATATTAATGATAATTGTTTATTTACTGTTCTAGAAGGTAGGTCGTGTTAAAGAGTAACCTTGAAAAATTGGTGTCTAATGAGGCTGGGTTACACCGAGAAGAGTTGGCAGTGTGATAGGATGGTCGTGACAACAGTGCCTCTAGCCTGTTGTAATAATTTATTTAAAAGAATCCTTGGGGTAGACGTCACCACTCTCCAGGAAAATGGAGTTATTATAAATTTAGTGACCTAACATCCAGTTAACATAGATTTTTAAATGTCTTGGCATGTAAATCCCCCTTTCTTTAGTAAACTCGTATACTCAAAGGTCTCAGAAACAACATTAGGAAACATGGTATGAAAATAGAAGAAAATTTTGTGTAGCAGAACAGTTGCAGCTGTCGTTTATACCCATTCCACTTTTGGGGGTGCTCCACAAAGAATTTAAGCATCAGTTGACAAGTTATTTGTTGTTTTAATTGCGAAATTAACTTTCTCTACAAATAACTCCAGTACCTGCTAATTCTTGTCACATAAAATTCATGTATATGATGATAAAATACATAAACTCACTCATGTGAAGTACTGTACTGTAATGTATGGTTTCCACCACACTAAGGTTGTAATGTGTAAATGGCTGGTTGTCACACTTGCCTGCTCTTAGATCCTGTTGTCTAACTTTCAAAAATGTTTTAATGTTCAATACTTGTTGGCACAGATTTACATAAAATTGTCTCAAAACTCTTTTGGGCTAAATTTTTGACATTTGGCAATTCAGGTCACTCATCTACCAGAAATGTTAGCCTTGCACTGTGACCTTTGACCTAACACTGCCAGTATTATAAAAGAATAGCAGCAATTTAACATTGTATTTTACACTATGTACACATCAGTAAATAGAGAAACAGAAGGCTTGAGCCGACTCTTTCATTGATGACAGTCCTGACTTGTCATGATGTATGTTGCTGGGTATACTTGTCAGAAATATCTAAAACACAACTATTGAAGTCATTTTAGAGATCTGTTTGATGAGTGCTGAGATACTGTGATTAACACCCCAGAGCAAAAACAAAATAACTTCTGTAATTCTTCCTTTGGAGGTTTATATACACTATGCCCAAAAAGGAAATGTATTACAGTATTGTGCAGTAAATTTTGTCAGACACTTTAAGTTAAGCTTTTCCACATAAAAACTACATACTGTACAGTATTAATCTTTGTGGTAGGTAATGAGAATAATGTAATGTACAACAAAGCTCATAATGTGATACTAGGAAATGAGAGTATTGTAGTGTACTTTATCATATAAAAGAAGGAAACAGGAGAAATAAGAAACTTGATAAGGTAATGGGTTGAATGTACATTTTATGGAAGCTATCAACAAAATATGGTACAGTACATGAGTCTGCTTTATTGACTCTTTGACCTTAAGGGTGCTCCATCGAAGATCTTATCTGATTAAGGCAACCACAGTTGTAAATACAATACTGTACAGCTATATGTGACACAAACAGATTGGGTTGATGGTCCAGGTTTAGCTGTCGTTATAAATACAGTAGTACAGTACTGTAATATACTTTTTTAGGTGCTAATATAGCGGGCAGTCTACAAGATATTTTGGTTAGGTTAGACTCAAGATATCTTTGTACACTGCATATTATAGTACTGTACCATCCTCGTTTATCATGAATGTCAAGGATAAAGTTCTGTTTACAGTTTTGAGTGTGGTAAGGAACACCATACCAGATCTCCGTTATGTGTGATTCATATCCTGGCAGTTGGCTAAATAAAGCTTGTGATGACTAGCAACTAAATCTAGGCTTCAATATGTTTTTGTTTGAAGCTCAGTATAGTGTTCATAGTCTGTGTATGAAATAACTTTATTACAGCAGATTTAGGAGAAATTTTGTGTAAATTTGGATGCTTGTTGGTTGGTGGCCTGTCAAGTACACTTTTTAGGATTATCTTAGAATTTCTAGCTGATCTGATTTGAATGTTTCTTTTTATGAAAATTGTTGTAATTGTTATAGTGAATAAGCCATTGCCTTCAGATTTAAGATGGATAGAATAACAATCAGGAGTTGTGGCCTTTGAAGCATTGATTTTTTTCTTTTTCATTTTTTAATGATCACATTCTCTGATTTTCCTTTGTGCTGAAGGTAGAGGTTAATTGGAGCCATGTCTTTGTCATTACAGCAGGATGGTGGCGAGATCAGCATGAGGATGAGAAATGGGTCGGCCCATGTACTGCGTTGCTTGAAGGTGTGGTATGACCTTCCTCCAGACACCTTCTTCAATGCAGTAAACATCATGGACCGCTTCCTCACACGAATGAAGGTACGTAGGCCTGGCGTCTGGCCTATAGGCTTAGTTTGGTGTTTGGGGATATTTACACTCGAAGTTTGGATACTATTTGCTTCAATCGATTATGTTTTGCATACAAGTTAGAATACTGTAGGTTGACTGATCTATGGAGAGAAGTTTAGCTTGTGATGTTAGAATAGAATTTATAGTGTTGGATAACTGAGAGTTGGGATTTTTTTGTGTATTGGTTGAATATTGATGCAGCTTATACTTTTTCAGGCACAACCGAAGCATTTGTCTTGCATCGCTGTGAGTGCATTCCATCTTTCATGCCAGTTTACCCCTGGGTATAGTCACTTGAGGGATATACCCCAGGTGGTACCAGATAGCAGAGACCTTACCACCATCTCTCAGTGCAAATGCTCGTCTGGTGATGTGACCCGCATGGAGCGCATCATCATGGACAAGCTGGCCACAGACCTGCGCTGCCAGCCACCAGTTACGCCCTTGACACTACTGCGCGTCCTCTATGCTGCCCATAACCACCTGGCTGCCCCACTCGTACACCACCCAACATTACCACCTCCCCTCACCACCCTCATACACAAGCTGGAGATTGTGGAGTGCGATTCTGCTGCAGCCACCTTCCGCCCATCAGAACTGGCACTCTCCCTGCTAGCACTGGAGTTTAGCCAAGATGCTGCCAACAAACATATTCACCATGCCTGTATTAACCATCTTCAAAACATATGCAAGGTAATGCATGACACTAAGCCTTTTACTGTACTTTGATGAGATGTGAAATATAGAAAATTATATTGAATGGGTTGCAATAAGCAGTTCACAGATTCAGGTTGTGCTTTAGGTGTGGGATTATGCCTCCACCCATCCACATAAAATTTGTTACTGGTCATTAGCTTGAGAGAAGCTTCCCGGTTTGAAAATAAAGTGGATGCAGTTTCATGTTCTAACTACCTGTTCCATTTGGATTATTGTGTTGAATGAATGTTTGAAACTTAATGCCCTATATACAATCCATTTGAATGATTATATTGTTGTTAAGAAGGAAATTTATCATATTTATTGGTTGCCGCTCCTCTAACTTTATTTTTCTACAGGTGACATATGACACTTTTGACCAGTGTCAGAAGGTAGTTGCCGAGTTAATGGATCAGTACGAGAACCAGAGACACTCCCCCCACCGCCAGCGTCTGGTTTGGAAACTCTCCAACAGAACCCTGCGTCAGCTTCGGCCCACAGACAAGTTCACCACTCGATTGCCAACAATTGTCGAGATGCAGGGTCCCTCACACCCGCCTATCATAAGGCCCAGGTAATAAAATTCGCTAATCTTATCTTGAGTTGTCATCGTGTTTATCCCCCCCCCCCTTCCTTCCGGCTAGTGGAAGAATCTGGTACCAGTTGTAGCCTGTAGGGAGAACACAGCTGTTCATACTTTAAGCATTATGGATATAAATAATTCTTTGTAATGAGGGTATTAATGTCTACTTGTTTTTTCCAGGATGGATAGCGAAAGCTCGGAGATGTACGTATCATCGTCTGAGGAGGAGATGGACTATGACTACGATGAGGAATTCCCACCTCTACCAACTCCAGCGGCCTCCATGAAATCTCCACGGAAATCACCCAGCCAGTCCCCACACAAGAAGACACCTGCGTTCCTCCCTTACCCCCAATTCAACCGAAAACATAACCGCATTGCATAATCATTTTGTTGCTGTTTGATGCACCAAGAGCAAGTAAGCAACAAGAAGCCTTGCTACTGATTGTAGCTTAAAGTAAAACCTGTTTAGTTTTGACGAACCATTATAAATTTTATTTTCAGTTCCTAAATGTGCAGTTTTCAGAGTATAGTTGCAGTATTTGACCAAATACCTGAGCATAATATTGCTCTTTTGGTCTGTTGCAGCTAATGGCCATGTTCATTGTCAATGTTCCAACATTAATGATGGTAGCCTTATTCGTTGCTGATTACTTTCCAAGTTCACACTGCACAAAGCTTTTTAAGCACGAGACAAAAAAAAATTACTCTTCAACACTTGCAAAGTGTTTTCTGTTTTTCTTTCTGTACGATGAACTTTTCCTATATTGGCGAGGTTGTCTTGCATTAAAATCGTATATTTTAGTATAAGTTGATTGAACTGACCACCGAAAAGTGATATTGTGAAGGAGTTAGTTATAGCTGAGGAGGCGTTTTTAATTTTCTGTCTTTCCCCGAGTGTGTTTTTGCCCTTTATGGGTAAAGGTACTTGGAGGTAACATAAAAAACTAAAAACAAAAAATATCATGTTGTCACTCAGACTGGTCCTGAGTGACCCTTACTTATTTATGTCCTGTCATTTTGCTTCATCTTTACTAAGGGGAATTGTCTCCTTCTTTACTTGTATGATCTTTAGTGGAAAACTTAATGATTACTGAAAAAAACATACAAAAATATTACTTTATTGGATGTATGTAATAGTGTATTGTAGCTTTATTCAGCATCTCCTTCAAGAAAAAGTACAAAAAAATCATAAAAATCACAAAACATACTAACAAGTAAGGTTATATTGTAATAACCATCCTTTACATTTATTCACTAATAATCTCTTTGGGTATTGCCTGGTCAAATTAAGGTGGTGATTTTTTCCTGGCTGATTGGAATTTGGGACACAGGTTTACCAATAATTCATAAAAAGAAGCTACACTAGTCAGTATTGTTCTGTGCCATGAACAGTGCTCCCAGTGCAGTGTTGCCAGACCTGCAAAAAACTGTAGCCCCTACGTCATGTTTCCCATTCAGTCGGGATAACCAGTAGGAAGGCCGAAGTTAAGCAACACTAGACGTGTCCTATTAGGGCACAAGGCTGTGATACCCTCAGACACAGTATGTTTTGAGATGCTAGGAGTGGTGAGCGCCTTCCTTGTCGACCCGACAGGAATCGGTAATTTCTTTTTACTGAATTCAGGGAGTATCCCGAGGTAAACAAAATGCTTAAAGAATACACTAAAGTATCAGGCAAACCTTTATATTAATGGTGCCCTTAGCTACAGATCAAGAGGCATTTACCAAGGTGGTACTGCAAGTGAAAGTGGTCACTGCTCCATTAGGGAGCCTGATTCTGGTAGTGTGGTACAGTGGAGGAAGGCGGGTGGTGTTGGCGAGCCACCTCCGAGCGATGGACACCCCTCTGGGCGACGAGTCGCGGAGGTGGCCCATCCCCACCCCTCCCTAATAAACCAGCATCAGTGCTGTTGATATTAAAAAAAAGTATTTTGAGTTTATTATATATTATTTGGGGATAGACGATGTATGTTATCTATGCAACGAGACCCCATCTTATTAATATTGTACCTGCCAGTAATAATAGACGTGTCAGAAAGTTTATTGGTGCTGGGCTCCAAACAAGGAGCTAAGCTGAGTTCATATGGTATATGTTCTTCTAATTTTTGTGCATTGTATTTATTTAATGATATAAATGATGTGTACAGTACATTGAATATGGAGTGTATTCTTAGTTTATTTTGAAGATGTATATTATGTTTGTAAATTTGTCATCTTGAAAAGTGTTAACAGTAATTGTTATAAGCTTTCATAAAAGCAGCAGCATTTGGAGCCCAATGAGTATTGTCACCACCTGTAAACAGTCAGTAAGTATAATCATCATCATTGGACAAAGTTTTTCCTGTGTTAATAAACCAGTGGGGGCTGTTGTTCTCTGCCCCTAGCCAAACTACAGGTCAGGCTCCTCAGTCCCAATTTTTTTTTTTTTAATCTCGTTCAATACGTAATGTGAGCCACGGAGCAACAGGACCTGTCAATTCTCTGACCCATACAGCTAAAGAACCTGTGAATTATCTGTTGTTGTGTAGTATGCTTATTATGGTTTCAACATAGGTCCTGTTGTTAGACTGATGTGAAGGTAAGATTTTGTGAATTCCAGTTGTACCATTTAACCTCAGGTGAATGTGTTGGTACAAATTCATCTCATGTATGTAAGGAAAGTGTTTTCAGTGTGGCATAATGTTGGGACTGAGGAAAGGGGAAATCTGTTCTCTTTGTAGTCTTGGCCTTCATGTCATTTATATTATATTTTTAATGTACATAATGTGTATGATGTACAGTTGTAAGTTATTTTGAAGGATTTATCAAAGCCTCGGGCATTTGACAACAACCCAAAGAGCCAAAAAATATAAAAAAGAATGTAGTTGATTCTTGTGTCATACACTCAGTGGTCTAGCCTCTCCACAACAAAATGAAATAAGATAAATATTTTTCTAATATTTAGTTTAATTTTTCCTTCCTGTTCCATGTCTTGTAAGATTCTAACACTTAATGTACTGCTTTCTTCACTTCACAAAATGCTCAACTTTATTATTTGGTAAAAACCTTTGGTGGGTAGGATATTATTTATTTTCAGAAGTGAGGAAATATGTACAGTACAATAGGTCTAAGAGTTATTTCACCTAACCAATAAATAAGAAGATAGGGCAAAATATGCCAGATTTTTTTATATTTTTAGGGCTACAATTATCAGGTGTATGAGAGGGGGCGTGACCAATTTAGTTTCTCATTGACAAATTGTGCGCCAGAAGTTTTTATCATATCTGATCATCAACATCCATTGAAATATTGATAGTACAGAAAATTGAAATATTGATAGTACAGAAAATACCATTAATTCTGACAAGAGAAGATCACTGAAATACCTAGTGATGGATGGGGTGAGGAAAATGAGACAAGGTGAAAGGAAGATGCAGTAATCTGACAAGTGTGACCATCCCCTGGGCACAGGTATATGCCCCAGAAGCTGTGGGTCAAATATCTCATTTATACAAAGACACACAGATCCTGTTGATGTTCTTAATACAAATGCTCACCATAGTGAATATTTTTCTCTTTCCAAATAATGACAATAGATAAAATTTTCTTTGATTTGCTGGCCATCAACAGCTTGGGTTATTATGACTGTTGCACTAGTTAGTTTGATCGTTTTCTCTTGTTCTTTTTCTCCCTTTGGACATTCTCTCACTTGATAAAATTGTCGGAAACAAATAAGTATGCTGCAGAAGTTCTCCATGAGAAAAGTGAATGGATTTCAGTGCACAAGAGAAGTCATTTCTCTACGGAAACCTGTTGTGTGGGATAAGATTAGAAAATATTTATGCCTAAGATTATGCATGGGCATAATTGTTGTGAATAATGTGAAAGACTACTGGAGTATCTACCGTGAGCCTTGTGTCCCAATTTTCTCCAATACAGTGTTGCTCGACGAATATCTTCTCATCAGTAGATTCTTAGACCAAGGGGGCATCCTCAGTATGATCCATGGGTGAGATTACCACCTTTCTTATACTACAGCTGTACTGAGTAATTTAAGACCCACTACAAGCTGTACCCAAAGATAAAAGGATGACAGGTGTGTGTACATACAATACATAAATGACGTGCAAGGTATGACGAACTAATTTGAGCTCTGAGGAGTAATACCTATGTGTGCCATATTGACCTTTATTCAGGAATGGATTTTTATGCAACTGGGTCTCAAAAAGCCTCGCTCACACAGTAATGAGTATCGTAGAGAAGTGTTATCTTGTATACCAAAGGTTACAGAATCATTCAAAAGGTGTGTAGTTAACTTTACATCCATTTTATTTTTAAACCATGCAATTTGTATACTCTACTTGCCACCTTAATGAAGTTCCTCACTTTCTTGCTACTTGTGAAAGCATTTAATAAATTACCATGCTCCTCAGTTGCAAGGTGATCTAAAGTAAGAGAAACTAAATCAGTATTCAAACTACTTTCTCTTAGCATTGTGTAAGTAGATTACTGCTTTCAGTAGCACAAAGCCCATCAGCAAGAAAACATCCAATAGGCAGTTTCCAGTGGTCATTAATGGAAACCACCATATAAGTTTGGGATGCCTTAGCTACAGGTAAGCAGTTATTGTCCAGTTCAGTTCCCGTGTCATTGTAATCATGATAATTGTGTCCATCTCTCCATATGCTGGTGTATGGCCGTTTCATTCATAATCAGCGGCTTACCTTTCCCTGTTGCAACCAATGACCTCATGTGTAATGCAGAAAATGATGGTGATGTAAACCCTGGGCTACCTTCCATAGACTTATACTACCACTTGGGTGTGGTAAGCAAGCATCAAACATCCCTAGTGGACCTATATGTACTGTATGTGGTGAATAAAAGTTTATGTAAAAATTTTGAATATGTCGACTCCAGAAAAAAAAAAGTGTTCCTAATGTATTTTGTGTCGAATTTTTTGGTTCCTCCTCATGTAACAACACCATCAGACTCGGATTTTTTTTAATGTGATTCTAAACAACTGAATACAGTATATAGTTACTATTGTCTTGTATCACACAGTTAAGAGTTCCTAGAGAAACAAAATGTAAGTAGAGATTATTAATGTGAACTGTTATGTGATATAGACCAAAATAACATGAGGGGAATAATTTGGCCCAATAATTACCCACAGAAGAATGGACGACCCTTTCATTACGGTGCAGCTTGTTTCACTATCTGGTAAGGAACTAATATATTAATACTGTACAGTTCAATGGTTTTATTCATTCCTAAACAGTATTGATTTAAATAAACATACAAGAATCTAACAATTTCATATATGACCATTTGAATATCTGGTATCTGCTAGTAGATCACCTGTGGAAATAAAACATTAATACAATAAAAGAGTTTGTTTCATTTCATCATAATTAATTGAGTTATTATACACCCAAACCCATGGAAGTCGAATATAATGCTATAATCAGCCTCCACTCACCACGGGATCTCAGAGGAGTGCCGTACGATATGTTGGGCAAACACTTCATTTTTTACCGATTCACTTTTGGACCACTTAAATTAAATGGTCTTTCTTATTTTAGCTTCCCTACACGACCTATGGACTAATGTGAACTTGAGTCTTGTGTTAAAACTCATATTAACTTACGATATTACTGTATAAATATCTATAAAGGGTTTGGGGTTCAGTGTGTCGGTGTTGGGGTTCAGTCTGTCGGTGTCGGGATTCAGTGTGTCGGTGTTGGGGTTCAGTGTGTCGGTGTCGGGATTCAGTGTGTTGGTGTCGGTGTTCAGCGTGTCGGGATCGGTGTTGGGGTTCAGTGTGTCGGTGTTGGGATTCAGTGTCGGTGTTGGGGTTCAGAGTGTCGGTATCGGTGCCAGGAGCCAGTGACGTCAGACCATAACAACAGAGGTGAGGGCCAGAGAGAAGAATGTCACACGGTGCCCACAATAGGCCAGTCAGGTATGAATTAATGTATCTATAGAGTACCAAGGAGTAGTTTAATAATGTTTATAGTCACTAAGGCAGCCATAACGAGTCTCTTGAGATATAAGAATAAACCAAGTAGTAGTTTATTGGATATTGTGTTCACTGGTGTACCTCCAACTGGGCCCCACACATTAGTAACTGGGCCCCACACATTACTAACTGGGCCCCACACATTACTAACTGGGCCCACACATTACTAACTGGGCCCACACATTACTAACTGGGCCCACACATTACTAACTGGGCCCACACATTACTAACTGGGCCCCACACATTACTAACTGGGCCCCACACATTACTAACTGGGCCCACACATTACTAACTGGGCCCACACATTACTAACTGGGCCCACACATTACTAACTGGGCCCACATATTACTAACTGGGCCCCACACATTACTAACTGGGCCCCACACATTACTAACTGGGCCCACACATTACCAACTTGGGCCCACACATTACTAACTCACCTTGCACACTTCAAACAAGTAACCGTGATCCTGTGACAGAACTGCTTATCACTCTAATGGAAAACATTAAAAATTCATGGTTAAATTAAGACATCTGGACCCTGTCTGCTTGGAGTGTATTTAAAAGGAGTGTCTGTACAAATAATGACTGTGAAGGGTGGCATAATCACTTTAACTTGAAAGCAAGAAAAAGGCAACTTAACTTCTATCTGTTAATTAAGCTACTCCATAATGAAGCAAAACTAGTGACACTCCAGGTGCGGCTCTTGTCCGACGGTAAAATGCTACGAAAACAACGGGCCAAGTACAGTATGTACAAATGTCGTGTTGCGGTTTTGTCCAAAGATTAAATATAACTCATGAAACATTATGAGAGCCCTACCACAAGGCAGAGCGCACCAAAAGTTTAGTCCTTCAGCATATGCTTTCACCAAATTTCACGACACGACTTTTGTCTTTCATTATACATCACCAAGGACAGCTGTTTCACATGACATGGCTGTTTATCAGTAATGTTTGTATTTTTCTGCTGCGTTTTATCTTTGTGCTTTTGTACTTTTATCATTCATGCAAAAATAAGTTTTGTAAAATGTGTTCTTTAACCTAAGTGGTCCAGGTTGGTTACCTGAGATGGTCCGAGTTGGTATTTGATGGTTCAGGTTGGCAATGGGCCGAGTTGGACTGTATTCTGCTGTATTCTATCTTACTGTTCTTGCACACATAAACTAACTTATTTGAAGACTTGTATAGAAGAAAGTCAGTTCATATCTCAGGAAGAGCTGGTATATAATGTTAAGCAGCTGAATGTTTCACCACTACCACCAGAAGGAGCTGTTTGAGCTAATATTGATGACTACATCGCCATTGCATTATTTGTTTTGATGTTTATATTATTAATTATGGTATTATTTTAGTTTTGGTCATCTGGGAATCTTAGGAATTTAGGTTAAGTTAGATATAGTTCTGTGGCTGTGTTATGTTGGTTAGGGTAAGTTAAGTGAAATCAAAATCATTCAAAACGTCAAAAACCATTGGGATGACCGAAACTATAATTTTGCCCTTACTATATTTTTTATCAGTGAGTTCTGATATGATAAGTTTGGGGGGTTTGGTTAGGTTAAGTTGAACTTTTAAATAACAACTTTTTAACGTATTTGCCATAACTACGGCAGTGTCCACTATAAAACACAGTGAAGTTGCAGCATTATAAAAATTCGTTTTCTATGAAAAATCAGCAGCGGTGTAGTCGACTATAATTACTATTGTTTGTTTTTGTTATTTTTTTCCACAGATGTTCTTATCATAATAGTAAGTATTTTAAAAGAGGCAATATTTACTAGAACATAATAGAACTTGACCTAACCAACCAAAGAAACCTACCTAACCTTACCTAACTTCTTAGCTGGAGAGGGTGGACTCTCTGCCATATTAAACAGAAAGTACTTATTATGATATCCAGTGCCTAATTAAAACATCTTTGTTGAAGCTTCATGGTGTAACTTTAAGTTTTTCGTGAATTTGAGAGTACGCTCGAGTTGAGCATGTCGATTGTCAACAAACAGGGCAGATGACAACAAACTGACTCGGTAGATTTTTTGGAGGAGTATTTACGGTAAATAATTAATTTCTTGAGGTACAAAGTAAGTAGAAGTATCATTTTAGGTTCATATGATCAGTTTTTCACCATATTTTACCCCACAATTTCCCTCATCCTTCATGCTCTGCCCATTAGTGGTGATTTATGATCATAGAGAAAAGCTAAAAAAAAAAGGGAATTTTATAATTATAATAAAAGGTTGTTGCCTCTTTAAAAATACCTTAAAATGATAAGAACATTTGTGGAAAAAAATAAATGAAATTGAACAACTCCTTCTGGTGGTAGAGCTGTTCTCAGACATTACCCAATTTTATATACAAATTATTAACAAAATAACACCTTTATCAACCTACCTAACCTTATATAATGCACGTTCATTCTGGAATAGGTATGTTAGGTTAAGTTAGGTTAGGTTGGTTGGTTTATCTTCTTTATGATGACCTGATAGTGTTGGCTGCTCGGAGATGGCAAGTCTGTCTGGGTTTGTGTTCATAAAAAAAAGGGTTAAACATTAAAGCTTCAATTCTTCCAACCATTTCATTTATTTTTTTTTATTTTTTGTGAATTAAGACAAGTTTTCCTCAAGTTGTTCCTTCTAACAGGACGATGTTGTAAACTATTACCCACTACTGTAGTCCACATCCTCCCCGAGAATTGTAGCCAAACCCAACCTTACCTTACGTAGCCAAGTGAGAGGTTCCGACTTTGATCCCCGGGCAGGGTGAAACTGTGAGCAAGATTCTTAATGCCATTTGTCTCTGTCTATCCAGCGGCAATAGTAGTCCTGGATGTTAATTGATTTATGGATCGTGTTCCGGGGTAATGGTTAGCCAGTGCAGTTGGCGAGTTGTATGGTCTTCTTGGATTATTCCTTGACACTGTGGTTATACAGGTCGTTAACGAAAGGTGTGGTTTTTGTGTTGGTGACAGCTTCTACACCTTAAACAAACCTACACTTATACGATGCTCCATTCACATGAGTTTATCAAATGGGTCCACAGCATAATTTATCACTCATAGCACCTCAATATAGGAGCCTAATTCAACAAAACTTTACTTGAACGGTAGCTTAGATTTTTTTTTTAAAGTACCGTATGTTACCATGTTCCACCTTCACTACGGGGACGCCACTTTTAATATTTGATTTGGCTAACACCAGACAATTTTATTCATTTCATAGGGAAGTCTGTACACAGTGGATTAGGAGTGATACAGTGTCTTGTAGAATATAATAATGAGTTTTGTATTTATAAGGTAATACTTGTTTACTGTATGTTGTTTTTATTGGATGTTTACTTAATATATAATTACAATATTCACCACAGACCGGGTCACATGCCTACTAATGGCATGGGTCAGGGAGGGGCGTGGGTGCCAGGGATGAACATGCCCCCCTTGGGATTTGGTGTAGTGCCACAGCAACCAGGTGGCATAATGATGGCACCGGCACAGGTTGGAGGTCAGCAAGTGATGCCTCAGGGTGCACACATAACAAACTGGCACCAACAGCAGTTTATGGCAGCCAAGGTATGAGTATTGTACCTCAGATGTTTTGAAATACTGTAGGCTTCTTTTTTATTCAAGAACCTTAAATGATTATTATTTATATGTTCTTCACAATGACCAGACTTTATTCCTATTAAATTTTAGGTTCCTGTTTATTGTAAATCCAATAATTTAGTACAGTAATCATATTGGGCTCTTGAATAGAAAAAAATACCACGTATTTTTTCTAGTACATGAAAGAAATAATTAATAGATATAATATGAAGAAGAGATATATACATTTTGAAAGATATAACAAAAAAAAACCTATAATATGCCTACCGGCCTCTCTCTATCGTCCATTGTGTTCACTCTTTATTAGCAGTGCAAATATTATAATGTTCTCATCTTCAATCATTCACGTGTTCCCTTCCTTGACCTTCTCGGTTCAGTACAGTATCTCTCCAGCTTCGACTCTCAGTCATTCATTCCTCTGCTTAATCCTTGCACACACACACACGTTTTTTCCAATACTTTGATCATCACTGTCTCTTTATGCATCTGATTCACTGCAAAAATTTCGTCCTGGTCATTGCTGTGATGTGGATCAAGAATATCTAGTTGTATTTACCCTTAATATAATAGTTACATAAATATACTACAATATTTATCAGAGATGAGAAATATTAAGATGACAAAATTATGTTCGTAGTAAATGGTTTTTTCTCTTTCTCACAGCAGATGGGTATTTCAAGTGCTCCTGTAGGTGTTCAACCCTTGAGTCAACAGCAACACAATCAGCTTCAGCAACAGCATTTCAACTCACAGCAACAGTACCAGCATCACCTACAACAGCAGCAGCAGCACCTACAGCAGCAGTGGGTTGAGGTTCACAAGAAGGCGGCGGTGGAGCAGAAGAAACTGTACGAGCAGTTGATAAAGCAGAGGCAGTTTGATGAGCAGAAGATGAGGCTTAAGGCATTCAGTAGTTCTAAAAAGGTAAGTACTGTACTGTAGGTAGTTAAGGTGTAAGTTATGAACATAAACAATGACTTCTTCTGAATCTCTGCTGATATTGTACAGCAGTGGTCCCAACCTTGTGTAGGCTCTGGGTCACAGTTATCATTGTAAATATAGTGGAGGGAACCAAAACTTTGGATTTAGATAAAACAAAAAAATCTCATATATACTGTACAGTTATTTGCAGTTTTACACGTCTAAGTGTTACCAGTTACATACGTCCCCGTAGAGAAGGGGTTAATTTTACATGTGCACTCCCATCCATACCTTATATTACTCCTCCTGTAAAGTCCTTAAAGAACCTTGATGATAATGCAGAGTGATGAATTATGTCCACACTTACTTCTAGCATCTCGTTGGTCATGTACAGTAGCTGAGAAGGTGTTGGTGACTTGCTAGAGAGAAAAATACTTAGTTATTATGTAATTTGAAAGTCACACGGAGTAGCTCTCACACGATACCTTTATTTTCTTGACATTTTAGGCAGGGGTGAGCGCTGACTCCATGATTGAGAATATACTCGGCACGAAAGAGACACTGAGGATGAGGTCACCACCACAACCCAAGAAGGTAAAATAGTGTGTATGATTGTCTCTCTTCTGTTACTATTATTATTATTATTTTGAAACTGTAAATAAAAGGGTTAGAAAGATGTACTTAATGAGTGAAAGAATGAAATATGGTTTTTGGAAGGTGATGCCACAGTACACTCACCCTCCCTTGTATGGTGCTGGCATTCCTCCACACCTCTGAGCATTTCTCCTCCTCCAGGTTCCACATTTTATCTTACAAATCTATATCTTTATTGTGCGTAATGAGTATATATGAAATTTAAGAAGGCCATCACCACCACATACACCGTACAGGTGCCAGGAAATACAGTAGTATCACCAATGGTTTTAGGACATTTGGTTATCGGGCAATTCGTCACTGGATCAATATAAACCTAACCTAACTTATTCATGGCTTCATCACCTCCAAAATAAAAGGAAATGTGATCTAAATTTAATAAATATAACGAGGTATTCAATAGACTGGTAATGAATTGTCCAGTGATGAAATGTCTGCCCACCACCACCACCACTGCCATCACCACCACCACGTACCAGAAAGTAGTGACATATTCAACTAAATAATCCCATGATGTGTTTCCTCTTACAGGTACCAACAGGTGAAGGTGTAGTGAATCAAGGGCCAAGTCAAATCAAGCAAGGTACACCTGTTGATTGGTCCAAGCTGAACAATATGAACACTTTGTTTGGTGTGACCCAGGTGAGATATTCAATACTTTATTTCTGATGCGTTGACAGTAATGACAAACTGAGTGGCTGTAGTCTAGACACTCCTTAATTTATGGAAAGGTTTTGGAAGACCTTTTGTTAATTGATTTCTCTTAAATTGGTTCACATTTCTCCACAGACTCTCATTATAAACATCAGATTCTCTGATGTCGGGGTGACAAAATGATATAACTTCAGTAGCGATCAGAAACTCATGGATATCCCCACGGACGACATAAAATACGCCACTCTAGCTGGCATACTCGACATTCACTTACTTGACACGTTTTACTAACAATAAGGACAGTTGAAGCGTTCTACACCACTCACAATGGATCTTGAATGTTCCAACTGTAAGCAGACATATCTAAGTTGACTCAAAACAAGGGTGTTCTCTCTCACATTCAAATTCATTTTATAGAGAGGTTGGTTTCAATAAGTCAGAGAAAATGGGATAACGGAGGACTGAGGTGTCTTGAAGTGATGAGAAAACGGACTCCTGAGATGGAGGACTCAAACGAAAGCAGAGTTACATGTTTTGTGGGCTATTGAGCGTAGTATGAATCATTTGATTTTGGCGCTAACTGACGTGTAAGACCGTGGTCGTTACATTGGACGTTCAACAAACTTGTATCAAAATATGTGTGTGTTGTCTCCAGAACATCAACCAGGAGTCACATACCAGATTCATTCATTCTAAGTTAGTGATCAATTAATGAGTGTTGAAGATTTTTCTTTATATCATTTAACTTCTTTTTTGTATACATTTTCCACCACTACATTTACTTGGAAATAGTTTGTGGGTGATGAAAGAGATGGATAAATGGATAAAAGATTTGGTTGACAGTAAATGCTTAGTGTATATGGGGACAGTAGAGGATAGATAAGGAACAAGTAACTGTGGGAAATAACAGCTGTAAGAAGTGTGAGAGTGAGAGAGAGTTCAGGTTAGGTTGATAGTGCTTAATGTCACCATGAGGAAAGTCTCCATTAAGTCTGTTGTAATTCCCGTGAATGTTACGTAAGAAGATGACTCGTCATTTTAACATTAAGAAAACTATACGTACAAAAACATTTAATGGCAAATATTTATAACTTTGTTTAAAGGTGTGAAAAAGTAAATTCAGGCAACCTCTAACATGTGAACAGTTTCCCGTGGGTGAACTGAACAGGAATTTTCATCACAGGCTAAAATAGATGAGGCTGGTAAGGTTTCTCTTGTCTACTACCTTATGACTTTGTGAAAGTAAATATCGGTAACTGAAAATTTGATCGTTATTGTTATTTTTCAGTCGACATTTTTGATAGTACTGTACAGCCAAGTAATATTTTGTTGTTGTTTTTTATAGGAGAGAGGAGCCATCCCACCTGTAGCTGGACTAGTGGGACAGACAGCCACTCAGCCACTAGATGACTCCTCTGAGATAACACTACCTGGAGTGGTCATGGATCCTGGTGCTCAGATGTCACTGGGGAAACTGGATGGTTGTACAGGTGGTCCTCCAGTGTTACCCGTTGGTCCCCCGGGAAGTTCAGCAAGAGGCATCGTCGGTATTGGAAATAACGGCAGTGCGGTTCCTCTCGTGGAAAGTGGGGGTAACATGGCAGTCGGTAAGCACCGCGGCGAGGGTAAAGCGCTGCCGCTCCCTGGCTGGTTGAGCGACAAGTCCTGCGTGCCGGCGGTGTACCAACAAGCCGGGTCGCTGGTGGAAGGCAAAGATGGATGGGTTGACACGAGCCGGGCTTATATGCTGCTGATGAAGACTGGTCTCCCTGCTCCCTTCTTGGGTGTGTTGTGGGAGATGGTCAACCAGACTCAGCCCGGACAGCTGCTGACTCAGGAATTTACAGCACTTTTAGCACTTGTTGCACTTGTACAGGTAAGTAAGATGTTTTATATGGACAAAAAGTAATAACTAAGGTTATGCATAATATGTATGGAAGGAAAGGAAGATGTTGATGAATGTTAGGAAGTCTCTTTCTCTGGTTCTTGTTTGTAAGCAAGTTTGATGTACAGAAATGAGAATTAAAAGGCAGACAGGATGGTAGTTTTAGTTGGTGTCCAGAAGGTACAGAAAGAACTTTTCTGCCCCTGGTGGTGCCTGTGAGGGATGTGATGGAGGGCAAATTTGCATCAGTAAAAAGAGTGCAGCACAAAAACAGGCACTGTATCATTGATTACATCTGCTCAAGAACATAGTTACACTGGCTTCTTTTATTTAATTCCTTGGTGTAGAGTTCAAGATCGTAATTTATGTGCTTTCCATTTTATAGGAAGCACTATCTGTCTCACTGGTATTTTCAAGGATATACCCTGTAGTATATTAACTAATTGCTATTTTCTATTAATTTTCAGAATGGTCAAGCCATCTCAAACAGAGACATACTAAGTACAGTGAAGGAACCCATTTTACCCATTATTGACCATCCAGCTCTCCTTCCTCTTGTCCAAGATTACATCCAGCAAAGACAACAACAACAGCAACAGTCAGAAAATAGTCAAGAAAGTGGAGTGGCAGCGATGTCATCAGAAGGAGGGCATCAACCTCCATCAAAAAGTAATGATGATGATGAGTTTGATGATTTTGTCAGTGGACCTAATCAAGGTGGAACCATGAACATGTTCCAGTCTGCTTCTGTCATGAGTCAACAGTTGCCAGGTGCTACAGGACAGCTCCCTCCACCCACTATCTTGCCCCCTGGACCAGGAGGAACCTCACAACTCAGTCAGAAACCCATGATACCTAGTGTGGACAAGATAAAGAGAATGAACCTTCCTAAAGTAGGTTTTTCTCCTGAACTTTCACCCAGCACTAGTTTTGATCATACCTGTGATGATGAGTTTGACGACTTTCAGAGTGCAACCGCTACCAGTGGGGCCGCTTCATCCACACGGATGACCCACGCAGTCCAACCCGGTTTCCCTTTGGCACACGGCAGCCAACATGTTGCTCCAGTAGCTGCTGCAGAGCCCTCTCAAGCTGCACCAGTACTGCTGCAACCTGAAAAGTCTGGTGGATCAGGAGACAAGTATGCAGTGTTCAGGGAGCTAGAGGCTCCATCAGAAGGAACATCAGATCCCAACTTTTCACAGTCCCAGTCTCACTGCTCTGAGAGTACTGCAGAACCCTCCGACGAAAGCTTCGGAGATTTCTGTAGCAGTGAGCCAGTGAGTTTAACAAACACTCTCTCCAGCTTGCCACCTATGCTACCAAGTGTGACTAGTGCAGGACCAGGGACAAATAACAACTCACCTGTTAGTTTTGAGGTTTACAGCACTCCACCAGAGATGGTGCCAGAAACTAGTGTTGATAATTATTTTGAGGCAGACTTTGGTGGTGCATTTACTTCAGCAACTTCCACCCAGTCGATGAGTAATTATGCCGACATTCACGAAGCCATGAAACGAGCAGAAATAGAACAGAAGAAGAAAGAAGTGAGTGATTGGAGTGATCCATTTGGGGAGTTTGAGGAAGCACCCAGCAACACCTCACTGTCATCAGCCGCTGGTGTCCTGCCTGTACCACAACTGAGTGTGAGTGTTATCACTTTATTCTTACCCTTAACAACTCTCTCATCCCCAAAAGTTTTAAATGAAGTGAGGGAAACATTTTACTGAATGTTTGTTATATTTATGAGGGATATTATTTGCTGTAGTAATAGGTCAGGTGTTGGTTGGTAATAAGGTCTTTTATATGGGAAGTGAAAAGTACAGGTAATGAGTTGAAATGATAAGGTAATTATATTTTTCATAAAACATATATAAAGGTGATTTAAAATTCTCAGGTGTAATGTAATTAATATAGTAAATACTTAGCACCAATTAATCAGTAATATATCATGGAAGTTAGTAATAAATAAAATATTCTTATGAAGTTAATGATACCAAGTAGTGGGCATTTTTATGTTTTAACTTCCCAACTGCTTCCACAGATATACCGGTAGTTTATATATTCATTACAATGTTTACTGTGTGTGGCATGAGGGATAGCTACAGGGTGTCTCGGAATAATGTATACACACTGCCTCACACATCAACGAGTGAGGATAATGTTGTTGTTGTAATGCAAGAATTCACGGTCACCAAAAAAAAATCTGTGAGGGAATGTGGATAGTACAGGGGGCCCCCAAGTTCGCGGATTTTTACTCCGCGTGAATTCTCGGTTATTCACGGATGACACCCTGGATGTACCCAAGAATGTCTGTGGTTAGTTTTAACGTAGACGTCATTTTTGCAGATGGGACAGGGAGCCACTCATTCTAGAGACAGTAATTTCTTTTACCTGTATTGTAAATGTGTGTGTGTGTGTGTGTGTGTGTGTGTGTGTGTGTGTGTGTGTGCGTGCAAATCAGTCAGTGCTCTATTAATAAAGTACTGTAATAGAGCACTGACTTGAGGGGAGACTCACATTTTTAATAAATTTGTTTCTGATTATTTGTGAGATGATTTTCCAATTATTATTTATTTGTATGTGTTTTGTGTGTGTGTGTGTCTATACAATACAGGTAAAAGTAATTATTGTCCTAAGGGCAAACACATAAAGGGAATACCGGTATACATTTCTTTGTACACAAGTAAAAATGTACCCCCTTCCGCAAATGTTATTCACGGATTTGGCGATTCACGGCCCCTTTTGAGAACCTAACCCCCGCGAATTTGGGGGGCCTCCTATATATATTTTTGAGAGATTTTACACATTAGCAAAAAATTCCAGATATTTTATTTGCCAGAGAAGTTTGGTCACTGTAACCTTTTAATACTCTGTGTATGGGGTTCACTCCCCTCCGTGTTGAATAACATCATCGAGCATTAACCAAATAAAATATTAAAAGTGGCATCCCCATAGTGAAGAGGGTTAGCTTAGTTTAGGTAGAGTTAATCACTTAAAGTTTTAACGAGGTTTGGTTAGGTTAGGGTTAATCGTCTACAGTTGTAACGAGGTCATCGTTACTTTATAGCTTGGAATTAGTGACGAGGAAGATGAAGACTTTGGGGATTTCATGGGTCCAGACACCGGCATCGTCGAACCCAGGTCGAACCGGCCGTTCCCGAGCCTCTCTGAGAATTTAGGAGAGACTCAATCTGTAGCAAGGTGAGGAGGAGTCTATTGAGTATTAATAAGATTACATTAACTTGCTGTAACTCAGGTATGGAAGCCAAGTCACATTAATTTTGTCTCATGTCAGAAGTTGTCCTTGAGAGAAATTCAGTATTACATTAGAACAACATATCACATACTGTACTACATTGATAAGTCATGACACTGTAACTGGTAATACTTTATGTTTCTATCAGTCTCGAGCTGCCGGGTCTGGAGATGACCGTCGGACTACAGCCTTCTGAAACCCGGGGATCAGGGTCCAATCAGTCCCCGGACCTCTTCATGCAACCCAGGTAAGAAATATGTGTGTTTTGTTTCTTCAGTCACTGGTTGATGATGACACTATGAGGTATGCAGTCGGATGTGATTTCTCCGTTTTTTCCGTTTTTTTTTCTTTCGTTTTAGATCCGTTGAGAAAAATGGGGGGGTATGACCATGACGAGAAAAACGTTTGACAATAAATAACAATAATTAACCTCTAGGGTCGATGGGTCTGCCACGCAAGGAAGACGAGCCAGTAGACTGAGTGCAATATAGTGGGGTCACTCTATATGTTCATGCATTACATCATATACAGTGGTCCCTCGGTTAACGAACACAATTCGTTCCAGAAGGTCGTTCGTTAACCGAAAATTTCGTAACTGAAACCATTGTTTCAATGGGATTTTGGGTAATTGGTTCCAGCTCACCGAAAATTACATACAAACTAAAAATAAATGCAGTAAAGTACACTTACTTTGAGGTGTGCATGTAGAAGGCTCCTAGTTGATGATGATGGGAATTAGAATGGGGGTGGAGAAGGGAGAAGAGAAGGCATTGGGGTGGAAGAGAAGTCACCCCATGCTTCATGTCGCCATTTCACCCATAAAATTTTAGTTCACTAGGTGTAATTCAAGATTATTTTCTTTAAATCAACACTGCACTGCATTATATATTGTCAATATGTAAAATAAACTTCAGAATGACCAATAATTGTACTGTAAAAACGTAAAAGTAGTTTATGTTCAAGAGAGTCTCAAGCAAGATGCTTCCTCCACTGAGCAGGGACACAAACTGACGCCATTCTGGGTGAGTCAAGTGGCTGTTTGGCGCGCTAAAAACTAGTTTCCTGTACTTCAATTATGTTAAATAATTGTTAAAATGACTAAAAACTTTAATATTAGACTTGGAAAATTATTGAATAGTACAACCTTCTTTGATATTTACTCAAATGGTAACGAATTTAAGCCCTAAAACCGATTTCTGTATTGGCGGACTAATACTACAGCTGGTGAGCAGGCGAAAGCATGTTAGGAAAAATTTGTAAGGAATTCGTTAACCGAATTTTTTTCATTAACCGAATTGAATATTCTTATGGAAGTTAATTCGTTAACTGAAATTTCGTTAACCGAGGTGTTCGTTAACCGAGGGATCACTGTACTCTATTTCTCATTGGCTGAGTATTGCTTATTTTACATTCTATTCTTTGATTCTTTAGTATTTCATTGACCAAAGAGGTTGCAGCAGGACAAAATAAGAGGAAATTTTTGTTAAAGAAACAGTTTGAATCAAAGAAAACAGAGTGTGAGAAAATGGGTCAAAAATCAAGGAAGAGCAGAGGCCTTCCAGCAACACAAACAGAAGAGTTTAGTCTTCCTGAAAAAACCAGCTGATGCAATTAAATCTAAGAATAAAACAAAACCAAATGAGAGAATATTACATGAGAAAAGAACTAAATATTTTGTTTGTATACATCATGGAACAAGCTCATTTTTTGTTATTTTTGTACTACATATGCTGTTTTTACCCCAGTTACTGGTGGTGCATTAGAGAGAAATCCCATTGGTAAGTATTAATTTTTGAATTCTCACACAATACAGTGCAAAAGAAGTTTTCCTTTTAGTTTATCTTCTCTCAATAATGGTGTACAATTAAAACTATTAAACAAATTCAAGTTTTGTAACAACTGAAATTTGTAAAGGAATTATTAAGACTATATTCATGGAAAATATTGTTGCAATAAACATACAGTACCTGTTTGATTTTGGGTACTGTGTATTATAACTATCAGGTGCTCAAGAAGTGGCGGTGCGTTGGTGCGTCGTGTCCATTGTTTGCTGGTATTGTCATCAGTGATTGCGGAATTCACGATGTTATGCTCCACCTACACACAGCCTGTTACTAGATTATCCCCCACCTCCTCTATTCCCCCACACACACACACACTACAGTGGGCGACATCTGTTGGCCGACCATACCATTTCCCCGAGCTGTTTCGAAACTTCAGACTCAAGGCATTTCGAACCCTCACTGTGGATGGGTAGTGGACACGACTTTGGTGCACAATAGTACCTTCCTTCATTATTTGTGGCAGCAACGGAAAACAAGAACAAACATTTGATGATTTTCTTCTTTTATATTCTCAGAAGTGATATCGGAGGTGTTGAGGACCACTTGCGTACCCTCTCCTTAGATTCCTCGTCTGTGTTTGGGGAAAGCCCTGGAAATGGTGGTGGTAAGTGTTGAGTACTTTATATTGTTCTTATCCCCTTATGTATGGGCTCCCCTTTGAGCTGAATAAAATCATTTGATATTGGCCAAATAACATATTAAGAGGTTATTAATGTTGTTAAGGCTTCACCTACACAAGTACAGGACAAGTGTTCTGTCTATGACTGTCATAGACAGAACACTTGTCCTGTACTGTACTTATTTCGCTCTGTCTTACTCTCTCTAAGACAGATGTTTTTTTCAGTGTCCATGATAAATCTTGAGTCCTTATTTAAATTTACCCGATATTTAAACCTCTTTATCTTGGCTCCATTTTCTCTCATACTATTCCCTACTGTCATCCTCCTCCCTCCCTCCCTCCTACTGTCATCCTCCTCCCTCCCTCCTACTCTCATCCTCCTCCCTCCCTCCTAGCTGTTAAGATTTTTTCTCTCTAAAACAGTCAAGAGCACCACTGTAACATAAGACCATTTATTCCAAGTCTTGATAAACAAATGATCTACGACCATACAACAGGCACGACAACAAGTGGCGTCGGAGGCGCGACACAACCAGTTGGCTCAAGTTCTGTGATGGACTCATTCAACAGCGGTCTGGTGGACAAGTATAGCATCATCAGGGAGGAGGCTAGCAAGGTATGACACAGCACACACACACACCCCAATGGTTGTTATGTGCACCTCTGGATCGTTGAGTGACTGTATTCCTTCATAATCTATACATGACTTAATTACTTACCATCACTACTCAGCTCAGTTGCCATTTTGACTTTTTATCTTGAGAAAGTCCATAGTGTACCGTTAGTTTTAGTGTTTATCATAGGAATCTAATTGATACAGTATCTAAGTTGTTTTATTTACCAGAGTCAGTTTGTTGTGGCCTCTTTATTAGGAACGTTGTGAAAGAAAATGTTGTGTTGATTATCCTGTGTCATAGTCTAACATCAGTACTGTACAGGGTGTTAATTTGGGAGGCTTATTAACACCCTGTGAAGTGGACAATAACTGATTTTGTAACGGGCTGATTCTTTCTCTTTATAATTTACTCTCCAGATACTCTTTTCTGTTATTATTCTTTATTTATAAATGTATTTTATACTCTTGCTTATATTCTTATATAAGTAATTCTTTCCTTAGTTATGTACCGGTATGTTTTTTAGATTAAACTTTCATGGTGTAGTTATTTAATAATTTCCAGGCTGTCTTTTTAGTTCCACAATTTACATAGGTACATGTCTCAGCTGTCTTTTCTTATACTTTCCAAGTCTTTCATTTCTTTTCATATACTGTATATTATATTTTCTAAATTTATATGTCCTTACCTTTCTGAAGTATTTACTCTGTTTTACTTATATTCTCATACATGGGTTAGTCTGGGGAACCATGTTATTCTTAGTACAACACTTATTATACTTACTAAGGGTAGCTGCCACCACCCAGCTTTTTAGTATATAACATAACTCATGGAAAGTTTTTGGGTAGTGTGGTAGATGTATAGGCACGTGAGTAAGTATTATTTTCTGGGAACCAATGTTTAGAAGGAGTAGAGTGGTGATATTCGTAGATTACTAATTCAACATTTATTAACACAGTGAGTGGATAAGATGTGACTTAAATTCACCCAGACAAAACTGGACCTTTCAGGTCTTACTGTACCATTGATAAAACAGCACCGCAATTACTCATTAATTCATCAAACACTTCAGGTACTTATTACCTCATTAAACAACTCCAAGTACTTGGTATATCATTTAACTATTTCAAGATTCATTACTTCATTACACAACTGTTGTATTATTTCTCTGACCCGTAAGATTCAGGAGTTACTACACACGGTCAGATAACACTGGACCCTCAGGTCGTTCTTTTAAGTAAAAAAATTACATCTTCAATTCTAGGTTACAACATTTAACAATCATTATATTATTTCATTGTCACCGCAAGTGAATAATATGACACACTTGATATTATCCCGAATTAAAATAGTCTTTATAACAACACGTTATTTCGGATGGCTAAGGTGACACTTTAACGAGTATTCAGTGGTTTGGTGTGGACTCAACTCCGAGAATAACAATAACCCGGGTACCACCAACATTCATGGATTCAATACTAAACCTGGGATGACTATATTTCTGCTAGTCATCCCCAAGCATGGATATTAATAAGGCTCCATACATATAGCCAAGAACAGTAGATGGACCACACTCAAGACGGAGTCAGTGGGCCAAAGTTGTTTACAGGCTCGCCCGCTAGCTCGGAGCGCCTGGCCCGGGAAGGGTTGACTCGTGGCGGTGGGCCGTGGCGTCTGCCCTGGGATTCTAATCTCGCCACCTTAAAGACATCCTTCGAGAGCCATCGTGCCCATAGGCGGCTCCTGAACCTCAGTCGTGTTGCCAACACACGCAACAGCGTCTGGAGACGTGGAGGAGAAATCACAGAGGGAGTGAATATTTAACTTCACTATACAAAACATACGTTTGGCAACGGTCCAGACGATATCTAAATCTCTACGTTACTCGACTTTATTGGCACAGAAGTTACTATGTTAAAATATGAACACTGATATTCACAAAAAATCGACTAAGTTAAACTGAATTAACATTGCGGCGTGGAACACTGGTTAACATACCTGGAGACGTGGAGGAGAAATCACAGAGGGAGTGATTTTTCCTCGCGCGTCGGCATATATACGGGCCTGAGGGCATATCCCTATGAGAAAGACTAATTTTACTAACAATAGACCTTCTATTCAAAGTAGTCGCTGGACACCTAGCTGTGACCGTCAGTGTCACAGATCAGGCTAATTTTCTACATCTATATTTATGATCTAATCAGAGATTGAGTTTGTCAGGAAAGAGGTGAAATGGAGTTACTTGCCTGACCACAGCCCAGGCCGAAACAACCGTTAAGTTTTGGAGAATTTTGAGTTTGACAGGAAACGTTCAGGAGATTAATGACTTTCTTAAATAGACAACTGACACTAACTAAACTATAAACATCAGATTCTCTGATGTTTGGGCAACAAAATAATATAACTTCAGTTGCGATCGGAAATTCAGGATACTCCCATGAAACGACATAAAATACGCCACTCTAGCTGGCAAACTCAACACTCACTTACTTGACAAGTTTTACTAACAATAAGGACAGTTGAAGCTTTCAACACCACTCACAATGGATCTTGAATGTTCCAACTGTAAACAGACTTATCTAGGTTGCCTCACCAATTGCAACCACAGTTGCAATTTCAAATTCTGTCATTACTAAGGAATAATGAAGTCTCGGGTACATTCAAGATTGAGAGAAAACGGCAGACTCAGGCATCCTGAAGCTCTGAGAAAATGGACTCTTCAGATGGGGAACTTCAATAAGAAAGCATAGCTACATGTTTTGTGGGCTATTGAGCGTAATATGAATCGTCTAATTTTACCTTAACTGACATGTATGACTGTGGTCATTACAAAGTAAGAATGGGAAGAGCTAGAGATATTGGTTAGGATTAAGTATCAACTGTTGAATTAAAAATACAACCCACTCATTTATCTTATTACATCTCACTCATCTTATTACAGAACACTCATGATGAAGCTCACACTGGGTCGTGGCAGAGGTGTCTGGAGTGCAGCGTGGGGCTACTGGAAGAGGCTCGTGACACTCTATCTAAACTCACTCAGACGAAGCTCAAGACTCAGGTTCTTGTCACCAGTCAGATGCAAGATTATTTAGCCAGTGAGTGTTACAGTTTAATCCTTGGTAATACTGTAGTAGGTTTTAGGGTTACTACATAGCAGAAAAAAATATATAGGACGTAAAGTATATATTTGTGTGAGAGATTTTCATTTATGTAGAGCAGAAACCTTTGTAGAACTGATGTGTATAGTATATATATGTATGTCTGCAATAAACTCTTCACAATTTTGGATTTATTTAATTTATACAGTAATTAAAATGTTTGGTTTTAGATTTACAGGAAGTGTGGTTCGTATGTAAACGTATATCATCATCTAGTCAGCAAGTTACGACCAGTTCAAAAGTAGACGACCTATTAACTCGAGCCAAATCTCTGTGGGGCGAGATATCAGCTGCCTCAGACGACAGCGTGGTTAAGGTAGGTGTTATGGCCAAGGGATAACTTTACTGAAAAAGACCTAGTGTAGATTATAGCCTGGCCTTGAGGAAAGCATGTGTGATACTGACAGAAGCTCATAATTTAAATGTTGAGTAAGTGTGCAGGAAAAATATGGTGACTATTTAGAAGTACTGTATCATGCTGGCGACCGTTAGAAGGGATGTACCTCTACTGTTCCAATATACAGTACACCTTTGTCTCCCTTTTTTTTTTATAAACAGTTGCCATTTTTGCTTCTTTCTGTGCCTGGGACATTGACTCAGGGGTCCACGTGGATGTGATTAGGTGATGGGGTCGCAGGGTAAGCAGGTAGTGCCTCTGTTTTATTTAAACCATGCTTCTCTCTCTACTCTGCAGGCTGCAACACTGGAGGGAGACAACCAGATGGGTGATAATGAAGTGTGTGGAGTCTGTCTCTCGGGAGGAGGAAACAAACTGACTTACGGTGGACACTCGTACCATCCTCCGTGTGCTAACCTCTGGCTTAACTGTGTAGATCTTCTCTTGCCTTCCTTAACGCCTGTCACTTTACTTTGATTATAGCAGATCATAGTAGACCCGTTACAACATATAAGATTTATTTGGAACACCTAAGGAATACAGAAGAAGTTACTTTGACTGTACTCTTCTCAGGAAATAGACCTCATTTTTCAGAAGTGTTGGGTGGCTTTAATGTGCTTAGGTTATGATGGAATATTCTATACAGTACTAGTATATATATATATATATATATATATATATATATATATATATATATATATATATATATATATATATATATATATATATATATATATATATATATATATATATATATATATATATATATATATATTTTTAGTCCATATTACCTCACCAGCCAGGACTCGAACCCTCGACCTAATGCATGGGACCAGGGAATGCTACCGACCTGAGCCAGGACTCGAACCCTCGACCTAATGCATGGGACCAGGGAATGCTACCGACCATGCCACAAGAGCACTAAAAGCAGTTCTAGACTATGTGATATTTCACACAAAGCCTGTTCATATATATATATATATACAGTATATATATATATATATATATATATATATATATATATATATATATATATATATATATATATATATATATATATATATATATATATATATATATATATATATATATATATATATACATATACATACCATGAAATATGTGCTTTTTAATCCCATGAAGGTACAGTAATTATTCTGAAATTTGCATTTATTAATTCCATAGTTTCACAAAGTGAATATTATGAATAGAGAAACCTTGGTTAATGAAATGAATAGTTAAGGTCCAGCATCAAGGCCAGATGGTCCGAGGAGGGTAATGAGTTTGGTCTGTCTTTCACCAATAGTTCTTTCTTTAGTTACCTTCACCCTGTGTGTGAGATCATCAAGTGGAGTATGTACTGTATAATGATGATGGTAAATACTCAAGAGTTATGTTCCTGTATAGGTGCTCCTCTACTTACGAACGAGTTGCGTTCCTGAGGCTTGTTCTTAAGTCCAATTGTTTGCAAGTCTAACTTTGCTCTTGTAGATAACAAACATATTGTAGCAGAATAAAAAGATTATGGATATTTAGTACAGCTATACCCTTTAATACAGCCTTAAACCTGGCTCACTCTTCTCCTCTTAGGTAATGTTTGTCCTATCTGAAATTTTCTTTAAAATAGTCCAGTCTCATCCACATTAAACACCTGCTCTGGCAGGTAACCCCCTCAATGATGATGTTTGTATCTCTGAAAGTTTGTAAGTTGAAAGTTCTTAAGTAGAGGAGCACCTGTACAGTATTTTGATAAATTTCACATATGTTATATTTCAAGTGATTTAGGTGCTAGGAACTATTAATTTGAATAATACTGAAGGTGCAGTACTAAATATAAATCTTCAGCTTATGTTTCAGGTATTGTTGGGGATTATTAGCTCCCAGTTCCTTGGAAACATTAAGTGGTGTCCTCCTAAGAGAAGTTTATGCAGACATTCAGTTGTTTTGAGAACAGGAAGCAACTTGTGACAGAGATGTTCCTATTATCCTTCAGTTAATGTGAGTTGGTCTTATGAATTTTGTACGTAGTGGATGAAAGTTGTTGGACTGTCAGTTTTGTTTTGGCATTAAATCGATTTATAACCAAGACTTGTGAAGTAGGGGACTTATTTATGCAGTACAGTTTGTAGATTAATATGCAAAATTGTCTCTGAATATGGAAATTAATTGAAATATCTGAGAAGTTTAACCCAACCTAGAATATAGCATGGCATTGAACTATAACATGTGGGGGCCATTACAGTAGCTAACTATTGGTGTAACTGAGGTGAAGTATCATGCTTCCTTCTTTAAGTACCATTATCATTTGCTCTGTTATATATATTTTTAGTTACAATTCATAACAGTGTCTTCGCTCTGTCTTCTTGCACACTAACAATGGCTAAGTTTGTTCACCTTTGTGTACGTACAGTAATGTAGCTGCTAACTGTATCCCTCCTTGTAATTTTCAAAAGCCCAGATTATTTGCTGAACATTTCTGCACTTTGGTTTCATCTATAAATATGGGCAACACCAACCACTGCTCTCACTAACAAGTAAACTATAGAATGACAGACAAAAGTGTACTGTAGTGCCAAGTTGGAAGTAGACTAGTAGGGAGGACAACAGAGGAAGTTGATAGGGATTTTATATGAATAAGTGCGTTTAGATGTGAGAATGTCAGTACTGTCCACTTGGTGATGGATAGGCTGTAGTGTGATGTAGGTTAAGGACACCATCAGTGGAAGAGTTGGGTCACTCCTGGGTTAGGTACCACTTGAGGGGTGTTGTGTTGGTCCAAATACAGGATGTCCCAAATGTTCTTACTGCTTGTTTGTATATCAACACACTGAAGAATGTATTTTCAGAATGAGTTTATTAAAAAGTAATATGGAGGGAACTTGAGAAACATGTATGGTCATGGCAGTGAGTACGTAGTAACGTTTGGGACACTCGGTATGTTTGCCCCTATACTGTATGTTTAAGAAATACCCTGTATTTAGTGTATCTGATACAAGTATTTTTATACCAATATTTAGCCACATCACATTGCTGGCTGTCATTTTCATTTCATTGTTTGATTTGCACTGCTGTCATAGGTTTATGCCACAAACTATCTGTTCGATGAAGGTTCATTACTACACCATTCTGTTAATTAGGGCTACTGAGTCTGTAGACATCATCTTTGTCGTCTTAACCAAAATTATTGCTTTTTTGAGATGGATCATAATGTAATAAAACACTTGAGTATATAATTGGATATTGTAAAAAGCGGGTCCACGGGTGGTATTTGTACCGAGGCCCAGCCCGGGTTCACTGCCAATTAGATAAAAAAGTTCTTAATATTTCATCTTGGTTGTCAAGATAACATCACATATCATGCCACTACATTTTGTATTTTATTCCATTAAAAAAATCTCTATGACAGGGAAAGTTGGAAACAGGTGTACTCTACTGTATATCACACATACGGTACCTTAGTCTGTGGAGGATAATTTTCAGTAATATGACGTACAGTACAGTATTAGGTTTGTTAAGTAGGGGTGGAGGTGTAAATCGTAGTTTGATAAAGAAGAACATCCGGGCAAACACAAACATCTTGTGCTCTTTATTACAATCAGCTTATGTTTCGGAACACCACTAAAGGCGCCATCACGCAGGCACTTGTACCATGTATTTATAAGAATAAAAATAATAGAACATTTAAAAACACACACAAACAATATTATTAATATTGTATTTGATTGATTGACAGAGCAAGTTTAAAATACTAACAGCACAAAAGGTTCATGATCCTGAGAATACCATTTTAAGGTACGAGGGATAGCAGCATGTGAAATCAGGAGAGGCTTCATCTTGAAGTCGCTTGAAGCGTATCCCGTGGCTTTAAAGCCAGGAGTAGTTCTTTCCTTTTGGGCATTGTATGTCCTGTCGGGCATATGCTTCCAAAGAAGCTTGATCTTGTCAACTTTAAGCACTTGTTTGGGCAAGTACCCCCCCCCTCCCCTCCTACTCGACCATTTCCTTAAGCTCTGGGATAAAATTTTTTGCAGCTACGGTGTCAGCACTGGCTGCCTCACCAGTCACTTTGATATTATGAAAACTGTACCGTTGCTTAAAACATTGAAATCAACCTCGGCTGGCATTCTGGCATTAAACTCTTCGTGTTTAGAGCCTTCACTTTCCTTGGCCTGTAAATAGTCAAACAAGGACTTGGCCTTGCATTGCATAACCATCAAACTCACAGGAGCATTGTGTTGATTTTTGTCTTTTGTCCACATTGTGAGCATTTTCTCCATCACTCCACTACGAGTGTGACTTGTCTAAGTAGTTCTCAACGATGAAGCACTTCTGACACTGGTCTTAATTTTGTTGACATTAACACAAATAATACATACCTTAGTAATGGGTAATCCCAACACTACCCCTATATCAACAGCATGCTTGCCGTCTTCAATGCGACGTAATACATCCATCTTCTTTGTTGCTTCTTGCAACTCGCAGACTCGCGTGCTGGTCGTTTTGAAGCCATTTCAATGGGCAAATTAGAGCAACAACATAAACGAGGTGAACACGAGGTACACGGAACACACAACGCATCCACACTCGGCAGAGGCGTAAGCGAGACTGATACTCCACAGCGACGTTGTGCATCATCACTAGGCAGGCAACAGAAAATGTTGCGAGGAGTAAATAGTACTGTCTAACCAACAGCTTAATAATGATTTTACACAACGTTTTGTGGAGCTTTGGTGCAGAAATGGTATCATTGTAATAACATAACAACATAAACTGGGACAACAGTTGATGAGGTCTTAGTGTATATCCAAGTGCCAACCTTCTCATTGTGTAGGAGGACTCTGTGGTCCACGGTGTCAAAAGCTTTGGAAAAATCAAGGTAGACCATATCCATATTTTTGCCACTCTTGATATTCTCCAAGACATTAGTACAGTATAATGGTCAAGCAGCTGGGTGAGACAATTGATTAAAAATGCAATACTGTACTGAATATTTTTTAAATTAATTTTGTTATTTTACTTGGTTTGATATTTATTTTACAGTATGTATGAAAATCCTCATTTTCTAGTATAGATCATGACTTGATCTCAGAAATTGGCGCAAACCAGTCAGGCAGAAATGATACGTTTCGTCTGAGCGAGACAGGCTAGAAAACTTGAAAATTTGTGGAAAAAACGATGGAAATCGGTAAAGTTTATGAAAAAAGTGGTAGTGTGATGTCACCTTTAGTGTCTGTGCCAGTTGGCCAAGTGTTTCAGTGAACTGTTGCATATTAGACTTTGGGGGACGGTATATTGAGGCTACTATATACAGGGTATAATTTTTTATATAATTTTCACCACTTATCAGCTTACTAGCCTTTCGGGCAGTTGTTTTATCCAGTGTTAGTATGGGAAGAAACTGGGACCAGGAAACCTGTGATGTTTGGTAGTGAGGGTCACACTGGGTAAAACCCTTCTTACGTGTGCCTGAGCTGAGGCTCGAACCCTTGACTTATTGGTGAGAGTTACGCTGTACCACCAACACTCCTTTTTAGTTCTATGGCCAGGGTATCATGCATGCCATCTGATGTTAATAGTAATACATGCACACCCATTACCAGGTCCTCCCTTATATACAATGCTACTCCACCATGGCTTCTGTCTGCCCTATCTGTGTGAAACAGTAAAATTTTGCATTTTCACTTCTGCATCTAATTTATTCTTGTTTTAGTGAGCTTCTGTCAAAGCAAGAAACAAATAATAATTTTCTTTGGCCAATTCTGCAAAGTATGGCACTTTGCTTTCATGCATCATGGGGTACAAGCCCATTCCACTTGCTGCCGTTGGTGTGAGCCACTGAGTCGATAGGGGCCAGTGTAGGTTGGGGCCGTCACTGATGTGCGTTTTGGCTGCACAGGTGGTGCTGCAATATGTGGTGCTGTCAGTTGGACCTGTGTTTGTGCCATCCCATCTGGGCCAACTGTTTTGTATTTGTTCTATCTGGATCCGGTACATTTTTAGGTGTTGGTGGACCATTTTCCTGTCTAAAAAATCTCACGACCTTTCCCCATTGTTGGTTGGTGTTGACCAGATCTGAGCTCAGTCTCTTGATTTGATTGTGTTCTAACTTCCTTGTTCCTTGAATGTGTGTGTGTACAGTATGTGCACTTCGCCCTACTGCTTGTACCATTTTTCAAAGATGAAAAACAGAGCAGAGTATGGGAGTGAGTGCATTTCCTTCCTTTTTACTTGTCTAGACCATGCTTAAGTAGCTTAAGGCAGGGTTTTGGGAGGACAAATTTGCATCCTTTGTCGCAAATATGATGTTGACTATTATTCTTCTGGTAGTAGACGAGTCCATAGGTCTACCACTACCATCACAGCTTGGGCTGGTAGACCAGTCCATAGGTCTACCACTACCACCACACCCTCTGTGTAAAGAAGTACAGGTATTTCCTATGTGTGTGACATCACAAACAAATGGCTCTGCTTCATGTTTTCCATCACAATAAGGTATCCATCATTTCACCACTTTTCAGCTGGTGGTTTAGTGAGTCCTTTGTCCCGACCTTCATTGTCCAGTGTTAGAGTGTGTTGTCCTTGTTGTCTTTGAGCTGGAAGGTGTTAGGTATTGTGCTAGAATTCATCATCATCATCATATCACCTTAACAAACATGTTCCACCTTTCATAACCATCTATACACATCATATATACATCTTTGATCCTAGTCAGAGCACATGATATATAAGACTCCTTTCCGGCCGAGTACAACAGACACGTTGACAATCACCTGCATGGTACAGTAACTTAAGGAACATGCGGCCATAAATACCAATAACAACTGTAGTTATATACTTATACTGTTTTGAAGCTTAGTAAAATACAGGTGATAAGTATAATCTTACTCCCAGAATGAGGCAGCACCACCAAAATACTGTATCCGTGTATTGTGTATAATTTGGTGACGGAACCAAAAGCAGTTCCCATAGCTACTTAAGTTTTTGTATGAACCATCTCAGAAACCACTACATTTTAAACTTGTGAATTATATTAAGATAACAATGTCAGACGTACCGTAATTCAAACTCTGCAACTGACGTGTACATTGAGGCCATACATCATGTGGACCATTTTATAATAAAACTCAACTACATTTCATTCCTCTTATTTAATGTATAACTTATAATAAATTATATGAGAAATGTACAACCAGTACAAAATATATTAAATTTACACTAGTTCATGCAACAAGAACAATAAAAAATATAGATCATATAGCACCTCTTCGGAAATACTAACAACACTTGCGACGAGAGCAGCAATTTGAGCCTGGAATAGTACATCCGTTCGGCTCATTTTCCCTTCCACTAGAAGAGAAATGAACCTTAACACACAGTTACACCAGGAGGCAAATTGCTCATCTCATTACCTCTCATTCAAGTCAAAGACACTTTATATTCGTCATCTTTTATACAGACAAGGCGGGAAGAACTGTACACTTGCTGACTTGTGGTTCATCTTATAAAACTTTATACAGTATCCAGAAACCACACTATGTCTGACTCAGCAGTATTACAATGGAAAACTTACTTTTATTAATTATCTATCTACATCATTTGTGGTACATAACTAAGCTCTCATTAATATTTGGCAGTAGATTTGATTATACAGTATGTACGTATTGGTATTTTCCACAGATAGAGCCACGAATAACCAGTTTCAGTAGTGTATGGCACGTTGAGGTCAATCCATAACATTCACTTCCTCAAACTTTATACATATCAGTACTGTACTTATGACCTACCGTAGTTTATCTTAAATCTTAGAACACTTAATGTTATAAATGCTTGAACTGCATGTAAAGGCACTTAGGTTAGGTTGTGGATCAAAGATGCAATAGTTTGTTGATAAAACAAGAGTGGTGCAGAAAAATGGTTATTACCCAGCCATAATTACATATGTTTTCAACACACGAAGTTAAATTTATACTTTAATTATTTGACCAATCTCAGAATCAAGTTTCCATGGAATATATTGTGGCTAGTTAATAAACATTATACTGATATGGGTGAATTTTGAAACATAATATCAGAGATACTGTGAATACTGTAAAGGTCATCTCCTCAGAGCCCGAGGGTGAAAATACTCGCCTGTCTTTCATATACTTTACTGTATTGTAAACACCACAGGAGTTGTTATACAATTCCACTAATCTGGTCGTTTCAATCTTACTATTTATCTCGACCTGCCATCATCAGTTTTGCCTGGACTGATATTCTTAACCTTGAAGATCAAAAGAGAATAACTGATTTCTTATTAAGAAAGGTATTCCTTGCCATTTTTCATTAAATTATTTATATATCTGTGAAGATCTAACAAAACTGTATATATATATACATTTACTTGGCGTTACTTTGTATTGATTTTATTGTTTATTAGCTATGTTTAATAAGACACTTAGTCGTGTATATAATAAAGAATCAACATGTTTGGTTAGTAAAGTGAACCTGTGGTGAGATTCTTTATTATGTACATAACAGGGAAGTAGTTCCTGGTGAAGTAAAGGAAAACTGCTGTATCTTATCTTCATGGTAATGGAATTTGTAGAAATCACCAATTGCATAATTCTGTCTCCATTTTCTGACTCTATATACATCTAGTCAACATGAGCCCTGATCCACATGAAATGTATCTGAGTTTCAAAAAACACATAAAAGGACTAGAAAATGTTTAATGAGGTGACTATTGTCTCTTTGGTTCTAGTGAATCTGTCTTGTACTAGGCTTACGATACAGTTTGCATGGCTTGTACAACAGTGCACTTTGCACTGGAATTCTTGAAACCTTGCACATTTCTGGGCAGGGTCTCAAAACAAGTGCCCAGATGCCCAGATCAGCCCTCATGAGCCATATGAGCACTTTCTGGAAGGCTCAATTTCCCACACCCATGGCTGAGAAAATTGAACGTGTCACAACTGGCATTAAGGTTTCGGTATGTTAATATTTTAAACACCTTAACCCGATATGCCAGCGCCGAAATTACAGGGAAATCAACTAACCCTCGAGATATAAATAATCCCATTGGTATATTGTTTTACATCCTGGGAAAGAGTCCTCCCTAAAAGTTTGACAAAAACACTCAGAATCATACTCTAAACACTTGTATTGAGTAAGGTATGTTGTTTTTAAGAAAAAATTTCTTTGACAATACATATACAAAAATGATTGTCAGAAACACAAAGATTACAAATGTCCCTTATTCACGGGTAAACATTAATATATCTTGTTTACACCTCACTCCACTACTGTATGTACTCTGTAACACTGAACTGATAAGGTATCTTGAGGTTTGACAAATCAACCATGGGAAGAATGGTCCTCTTTTCTTTGTCATATTTTTTGTTTCAAAGTTCTCTTTTGAATGCCAGTTGAAATAAGATTCCACACAGTACTGTACTTTTGAGCATTCACTGGCAACATTTCAAGTCCAGTGAACTCTGAGGAATAAAGACAGTAAGAGTGCTAGAACAATACCCATGTGTTTGTTTGTACATTATCTGGTTACTTTACACTTGTGTTGATTTAGGGTGTACATATCACTGTTTGTTCTCAGTGTTACCTCAGTCATATAAAATACACTTGTTTTATTTCAATAACTTCTCCCAGCAGTGTTTTCAATCAGCTGGGAAACTGGACACCACTATTTTCTTGTGGTGGTGGTGGGTAGGTGCAGGCCATAACTAAATTCCTGGCTTCTGGGCACATGTAGGCATTTATATTTTTTCTAGTGTTCACAGTTGAACAATGGAATAACCAAATGTATGAATATAACACACCCTTGGTAAAAGATTATGGTTAATTGGGATCCTACATCACCAATCTCATAAACTGGTACTGTATTGTATTATAGAAAAACTGACTAGTGGTCCAATGTTATTTTTAGTATTAGAGTACTGTTCTGTACAGTCTTTTACTGCTTCTGTGCTAGTCTGTTTAATAACATTTTATAATGTCATATTAGATAATGTTCAACAAGCAGCACATATCACAATGCACTTGCGTGGGGACTTCCGGTGAAGGAAAGCAGGAGACAGCGATAGTCCGTACGTCACGTTACTCCTAGTCGTGGCCCTGAACTACCTTCTGCGGAATAAAGCAAGAGATCATTACTAGACACAGAAATAACCTGCAAGAGAAGAACAAACTTTCAAGAATTGCAACATTTTCTGGTTAATGTGAAGTGCAGAACTGAAACAATGTACTTAATATTGTATGTACTATAACTTCTGATGTCATACATTTGTGGTAAAGGAAAATACAGTTTGTAATCTTAGAAGAAACTTAGTGAAGCATAGCAAGTCCCAAAATTAGGAATTTTAGTAAAAATTATGGACAGTAAATGAAAGCTTGCAAATATAGATATGCAGTATTGTAATGTAACTCTACATTTCATATTGAGAACAGGTGTGTATGCAAGTTTAAAGGTGTGTTTACGTGTGTACATTTTGTCGCCAACATGTGATCAACAAGAGGAAACACGGATCCAGTGCACAGTGCCGCACCCTATCAGAGTCGGAACCCTGTGCCTCATTTCGTCTTGTTGATCACCTGTTGGTGACAAAAATGTGCGCACGTGTGGACACACCTTAAGTTTCACTTTTATACCCTCTCTAATGTCACAATATGTTTTATCAACATTAAACATCAAGAACTTCATGCATGTAATGGTCATGTGTGTTTATGGTATTCTTTAAGGATACTGTACATTACTGTATATTTATTCACATTTATAATTATTCAAATATTTTAATTTTGTACAACAAATTTCTCTTGGTTTTACTTTTTTCATGTCTATATGCTAATCTTACCATTTTATGTACTGTACTGTACAGTATATTGTATTTATATGTATTTGTCATGTTAACCTTTACTATAATTATACTGTAATAAACAATCTATTTGATATAATCTTCTGAAAATGTGTGTAGTACCTCTGTGTTGTAATATGATTTACTGCTACAGTACAGTACAGTGAGTTCTGCTATAATGCGTGTTTTGACAACGCGAATTTGCTCTAACGCGATTTATGAATAGAGGAACGATATTTGTATAACGCGAACGCTTGTTTGCTGTAACGCGATTTTTGCTTACTATTTCTCCAATTTTGTGGTATTAACTGTGAATATGGTAAAGAAGAATATCTCCAAGAAGCATTCTGGTGATTGCATTCCCGGTGATGATTGTAAAAGAAAGGCTATAACCCTTGAAGAGAAGCTCGATGTTATCTACCTCAAAATCACCCTTCTCCCCCATCAAGTTATATTCATATTTTTTCAAGGTAAATTGTTACATTTACTGTATGATTTCATTATTAGATATGAATGTAACATTTATTTAGACTGTGCTATCCTTTGTGTTAGGCTAACTACTAAATTTTTTTTCGATTTCGAGTAGTAATCTGCACCTAACCCTATTTTCTCCATAAGTCCTGTTATTTCTATTACGCGAATTTCTATAATACGATGTTTTACAATAACACAACTATCGTGTTATAGCAGAACTGACTGTACATATATACAACCAAGTGTCACTTTAACTGAAGATATAGTACATTTCCTTTGACACCTCAAAATGTTTTAATATTTTAGGTGAAACTTTAGCTACATAATATTGGTGTACTTTCAACTGGTGGCATTTTTCATTTAATGTGCTAAATTAACATTTTTAACTACAGTACTGATGTTAAACATTTCAAGATTTTTTCAAGTAAAGTTGATATTCAAAGGACAAAATTTATAGCAGTTTTACCCACCTGAATGTGTTGAGATTCTTGGAGGAGGATCTTGGAGGTTTTGTTTGAGGTGTAGAGTTGCTGTGTGGGAGGTAGGTAGGAACTGGGACTTTCTACCAGTTTTATGTGCCTCACCTCCACTGTCTGCAGTACTTTTAGAAGTCCCACTAGCCACCTGGAAGGTGACAAGATGTGAGCCTACTGCAACCTGTGCAGATGCCTCAGGCTGTTGAGCAACCTCAGGCTCCCTAAGGGGTCCGGGAGGGTCTGACGAGTGCACTGGGATAATGCCCGTACTGCACCAGGTGGCTCGACGCAACCCTTTCTTGCTAACGTGAGGCCTTCCTTCCTCTGCCCCGTGAGACCCGTCAGAGGCATGGCCGTGGCGGGGTCGTGGCTGACGAAGTCGAGGTATGCGCTCCTGCAGGGATTCGAGGGAGTCACGTGGTGTGGTGGGTGGCTGGACCTCACACGACAAATTATCCAGAGAGGACGAGTCGCTCACCTCACTATTACCACACCGCTGTTCCTCTTGAAGAGCCGCCAGGGCTGCCAGAAATGGTTCCAGCTGTTCCTGACTCATTGGGGCTGCTGGGAGGGGTCCACGACCCCCCACACCAGCCTGGAATGTGACGGGTCGTGGGCAGGTGGTGGTGCCGGCGCTAGTGCTTGAGGACCCACAGGTGGCACGACCACTACTACCGCTACTGGCAGACGCACCGTGGTGATGCTGAACTTCAACACTCTGAAAGAAAATTAAATGTTAGTTCACATGATACACAACATAATATTATGTTCAATCTATAAACAAATGACAAGGATACAATTCTAGTTGAATAAAAATCTTCCTCATCAGTAAGAAAGGGATGTTAAGGCAACTCATAAGACTGATGATCCTCGATACTATAACAAAGGCAAGACAACAACCAGGAGTCTTCTGAAGTTAAGTCCAGGAATATACAGTATAGTAAAATATCATTAATTCTCGCTTACAGTAAAGGAATACAGTACAGTACACTCCACAGTGAGGGAGTGAGCTAAGAAGACTGAAGAAGGAGAGAAAGTTAAGATGACCGAGGAGAGAGACTTATGATGATTTTGTAGGAAGATTGAAAGAAAATAAAAGAACTAGAAGGCGGATGAAGGAGACATATTTTCACAGATTTATACTAGATACCTATATCAATTAGTAATAGTATAGGAGGAAACCAGAGTACAATACATACCAGGAGAATACTTGTCACACGGGACAACATCCTTCTCACATTTTATGCAACCTGGTAAGGAACCTGAGTCAATATGGTGAAAGAAAAGAGTGGTACAGTACAGATGTAGAGTTCTGAGGGAGAAGGGGAGAAAGAAATGCAAATCATGAGGAAGAGAAGGTTAAGTAGGGGCCGAAACTTCCCATAAATCATCATTCACCAATTGCTGAAAAAGTCTATCAGACCATAAGAATATCTCAAAGTTGTGTTCTGAGACAATTTTAATTCTTTTTAACATTATTTGTGGTAAGAATTTAAGCCATTTAATAAACTATGACAAAATACGCCATGGAAGGAAGGAGGATAAAGAAGAATGATGAATAGTAGAGAAAGTGAAAGACTATGAAAAATTTCAAAAGACCGAGTGAGAACTAAGTTAAAAAATTAGGAAGGCTGAAAAAGACTGATGAATAAATCAACAAAACATAGCTTAAGTATGAGAGGTATACAGTTAGAAAGATTGCCAAGATAAGAAACTAAAAGGGAGTATAGCAGTAATGACAGTCAAGGGAATAAGAATAAAGGGAAACAGAGAGAGAGAGGACACCCGTCAAGCGGCATGAGTCTCGAGCATAATGAGGGCCACGGTATTCTTAGATCAAGGGCCAGCGGCAACCCTGTCCGTCCCTCCTCCTCTCCGCAACACCATATTTCTCCCCCCCTTCGTACAGAAAGGAACCTCTCTGGGAGTACTGGCATAAAAGTATCTCCTATCTCTCACTGGTGAGCTGGGCTGACGGATCGGCTCTCGGGGAGGCATGTGTGATGTTAAGACGGGGAGGCTGAGCTGGGGATCTAACTCGCTGGTTCACCACAATGAATGGTTCTCGTTCTCCAAGGGCGCACACAAATAAGGATACAAACACACACACACACACACACGCTGTTCAACACAAGTCTTGAGATAATTTGACACAGGGCGCAAGGTAAAGAATGATTAATAATGTATGAAAGCGTGGGAAATAGGAGACGCCTTGAAAGTGTAACTGGCTCTCAACTGTGAAGGTACGCAAACATCTGCTGCCGATGTTCTTGAATTATAACTAAAAATTACTCCTTTTGTCTTAAATACCACAAAATAAGCAAAATAACAAAAAAAATACCGTAAAATAAGCAAAACGTCCACAAAAATACCGTATAATAAGCAAAATATCCAAAATATACCATAATATGAAAAATATCCACAAAAATGCCATAATATAAGGAAAATATCCATGAACAAAACTCCAATACTGAAAACAAATTTACTGACCGAGCAAAAAATGATGCCTAACGTTTTAAGGAAAATAAAACCTGCCTTATAAAACCAACTCATTAAACCAAAACAATCCGTAAGAAGAAGACTAAACTTTACAGGAGTGTTCTTGTTGTCATTTATAAATAAGATGTTTTATTAAGGACAGCGCGCTATATATACAGAGTGAGAGAGATGCCTGGAACGCCAAGATGCGCGGTAAATAACAAAAATAGATCCGATACAGCACCAGCAGGTCCTCACATATAGGTCTCTCACCTCCTTGCTCTCATATCACACTATTATAAACCATATTTCTTTGGGAAACGGCTTCATAAATATATACAGCTTATCTTTAGAATTAATCTTAAACTATTGCTGTACTTGATGGCTACTTCTAAAGCATTTAAGTTTTAAGGAGAAATGTCGGTGTTTCTGAATTAGACGTGGCATCAGGGGGTCTGGTATGATGCCTTTTGTCGACGCTTTTGTAGTTCTACTAAAACCACATAAAAACAGCAGCATAAATAAGACAATGTTTCCCCTCAACTTTCTTCTTCGAGGTTTAACTATAAGTGTGAGCCTCGTCCTAGTGTGTATCATAAGGTGGTAATGAGTCACAGTTATCATGAGGATATAATTACCTTGATGGATGGGGTCTAAGTGATATGACTAACCTACAGTACGCGGGCCAACACACACTATGACACGTAACTTAACTTCTGAATACTGATGTGTGTGTGGGGGTGGGGTAGGGATGTGTACGGGGGTGGGGTAGGGATGTGTACGGGGGTGGGGTAGGGATGTGTACGGGGGTGGGGTAGGGATGTGTGTAAAATAATGAGAAATTCAGATAAATATAATTAATTTAACAACAGGTATGGTTATAACCTTCATGAGAATCTGAACCATGGGGAAAGAAGACGGCGTCTGTCTGTTCCTCCATCCAAACATTTCAAGACCAAAATCTCTCCTCTACTCCCTCACCAAGAAGAACTAAGTACCGTTACTAGTGTGCCCCCCTCCCCCCTCTAACTGACAAATATGTTTTTACGCCAGCAGTATCACAGTCGACACTAACACTTGGCTAGACAGCGCCCTCTTACTTAACCACGGTCCATTCCCTACACTACCCCGGACCCAGAGCGTATCAATGACTACTCGCTATCCCAGTACATCACCAGCGCCTCGCCCAAACACTTCAAATCTACACCACAGTCGTCTTAGTTCATCCACAAGTTTTCCGGAAATCTGTGTGATCTTGAAAATAAATAAAGAAAAGAAATATAAAACAAAAGTGGGTGAAAACACGGCCTTCCACTGTGTAACTCGTCTCCCGGGTTGTCAGACAATATCTGCTTTCTTGTGTTGATTCAGAGTCCTTTCTTACGCCTCTTTCACCCCCTCTCTACCCCCCCAACTTCCCCTTAAACCCCTTCCTCCCACAACGTCCCTTTAACCCCCTTCCTCCTCCACCCTCCCCCCACAACGTCCCTTTAACCCTCCCTCACCCACCTGTCCCCACACACCCAAGATGCTCCAATATAGAGATTATGTGTCACCTCAACTATGTGAACAAACACTTTGGCCAGTTGTTGTGAAAATATGTTTTAACCACAGTAAGGACAGACTACAATGATGATGCCATATTTAATGTAGCCAAGGACATAACTACGGTATATAACCCATCAATATTATCTACAACACTCCCTGAATGAACGAAGTACATTATACTCGTGTTACTGACCAGACGACAGTATATAATAGAGCGTGGAGGGAAGGAAGCGAGAAAGAGAGGGAGGAGAAGGGAAGGGAGGGAGGGAGAGGGGAAGGGAAGGGGGGGGAAAGGAGGGAGGAAGGGAAGGGAGGGAGGTAGGGAGAGGAGGGAGGGAGGAAGGAACGGAGGGAGAGAGGGAAGGAAGGGAGATGGAATGAGATGTTGCTATAGAAAGTTTGTTTATTAAGCCAGAATAACACAGATACAGAGTTGATAATAATAACAATATTAACATGGCTGAGCCAGTTGAAAACCTGAGCTCTTTAGTGACAGGAAGGGAGGGAGGGCAGGGAAGGAGGGAGGGAGGAAGGGAAGGAGGAGGGGGAAAGGAGGGAGGGAAGGAAGGAAGGAGGAGGGAGGAGGGAGGAGGAGGGAGGGAGGGAGGAGGGAGGGAGGGGAAGGAGGAGGGAGGGGAGGAAGGAGGAAGGAAGGAAGGAAGGAAGGAGGGAGGGAGGGAGGGTGGGGAGGGTGGGGAGGAGGGAGGGAGGGAAGGAAGGAAGGAGGGATGGCAGGGAGGAGGGAGGGAGGAAGGAAGGAGGGAGGGAGGGGGAAGAAGGAAGGAGGGAGGGAGAGGGGGAGGGAGGAAGGGAGGTAGGCAAGAAGGAAGGAAGGGAGAGTGGCAGGAAGGAAGGAAGGGAGTGAAGGGAGGGAGGGAGACAGACCCGTGTGTCAACAAGTAGTCATCATACACTTACCACAATCTGGTGTTCTGCTTCCTCGCTGCTGGAGCCCGGAGGCTGTACGTGGGCGTGAGGAGGCTGCGTGTGGGCGTGAGGAGGCTGCGTGTGGGAGTGGGCGCACCGTGGGTTGTGTGTGGGTACCGGGGGGTACATGAGACATGCGTCGTGAAGAAGCGAGGACTCGTGGTGACACACGCCCGCACACCCCAGCACACAGCTGTTACCCGCACCACCTGAACCATACCCGCACATCGGTCCAGCGCCATACCCACTTGGGACTGGACCACCGTACCCGCTCACAGAACCACCATACCCGCTTACGGTACCGAGGTACCCACTGTGGGGGCTGGCGTACCCGCCCCGTGACACTGAGTACCCGCCACCAGGGCTGGTGGGAGTGTTATAGCCGCCTGCGGGACTGACGTACCCAACAGTGGGACTGGTGTACCCGCTCACCATACCCGTATACCCAGGGTCTGGGCTGCCATACCCGATATTGGGACTAGTGTAGCCTGGCGGGGGACTAATATAGCCCGGAGGGAGGGGGCTGTAGCCCAGGCCAGAGTAGCCCTGGATGGTGCCGCCCAGGCCAGCGTGCACAGTGCACCCCGGGTGGCCGCACGCGTGGGCGGGGCTGGAGAGCGCCACGTACTGGGCGTGGGAGGGCGTGCTGTAGAGATGGGCGACAGGGGTGAGCGAGGAGGGCCCTGAGGTGCAGGTGGTGGGCGGGCTCTCGTAGCAGCCCTCTGTACACACAGGGAAGGAAAACACATTAACACGTGCCACCCTGCCTTTGATCCCACGCCCGCCCGCCCGGTTAACAAGTAACAACAACATCCTACATGACCCGTTATAAACTAAGTAATGAAATAGTAATATTTTTGAGCTAAGAAAAGTTTTATATTGTGTATACAGTATTCAGATGTGACCAGTAAGTATTCTCAGAGACAAGGAGGGTGACTGACCTATAATATTGTAGTTACAGAGAGGACAAGTGCGGTGTTGGAGGAGCCAGGGGTCAACACAGGCGCGGTGGAATTCGTGTTTGCAGGGCAGCACCCGCAGCTCCTGGTGGGGACGGTACTCCTCCAGGCACACCACACACACCTGCGGGAACACAACTACACTGAACACTGTTGACTCTCTCGGTAAACGAAGCTATAACGACAAAAATAATGTCCTCAGAATAAAAACAAACAAACAATTTCCTACGAGGCAGATCAACCAACACATAAACCAAATTCGACATGAGTGGCATAACAATTGATGAATGGGGAAGTAATGAAAAAGAAGAAGGTAGAATTAATAGGGAGACTAAAATTCTATTAATTAAGGAAAACAAAACAACATTAGGCTATAGCTGTCAGGTAGAAAGATAGAGAAATAATACTGGCGGAGTAAGCAGGAGAAACACACAAGATAAAGAAAGTAAGAACAGAGACACAAGGAAGGGAAGAGTAAACGAAGCATGCAGCCAGCTATTACCATCATCTTACCTCTGGGCCCTCTGACAACACCGAAATCTCGTGACTCCCCTCTTCGTCTTCTTCCTCTTCCTCCTCCTCCTCCTCTTCTTCTCCTCCTCCTTTACCAGCTACACCTTCACCTCCTCCTCCCCCTCCACCACCACTTCCTCCTCCTCCTCCTCCTCCTCCTCCTTCACCCGTAGTAAGCTTAATTTTCTTCTTCTTCTTCTTAAGCTTCACTCGTATCTTCTGTTTCTCATCTCTCTTCTTCTCCTTGTATCGCCGACATTCCATCCGCGAGAGCGCCCGCTTGGCTTGCTGGGCCAGTGTATTCTGTAGACAGATACATTGACCGTGTTAGAACTTATATCGATATATCATAATGGCAGTGAATATAATTATGTTATTATATATATTAGTGTAATTTATACTGTTTATGAGTCCCATGACTTAATTTTGTGTGTATCAAATGCTCTCAGTTGATGTTTGATTTTGGCTCCACTTGTTTTCCTGCATTATTATTATTATTATTATTATTATTGACCTGAATTTTACCTATTCCATGCTATATATATATACAGATGTTTGTTGAGTTAAACTAATCACCCAAATTCTCACTAGTTTAGTCTACACGTACACTGTATAGACTAACAAACACGTGTTTTATCGACACTACATAAAGACAACGTCATTTACCTCGACTTCAATAATATATTACATCAAATAGGAAGTTGACGAGGCTTTCGGGCGAGCTGACAGTCAGAGATGTTTGCTCTGCCTCCCTCACACACACCTGTCATATTATTTATTACCTAATACTGAAAATCTATTGAGTGGTCTTATAATCAATGTTTTTTTAATCTTTTTTTTTAAAACCTTACGGAAACAGGTTGTTGCAGACATAAGAAAAACAGGAAGATTTCTTAAGGTGAGCTGAGCGGAGTTAATGACGGCAGCTTAAGAGGAAAGGCATTAATTCTTATACCTAACATTTGTCAGTAAATATTCTGGATGGAGGAGTTTGGCCTTTGAATAACGAAAAAACAAACGTAAAGGTACAAATACACATAAATACTATCTCAAAAGTTTCAAAATGACATACAACTCAAAATGTTCCAATAGTCTCTTCCACCCGTGACTTTAGAATGAATCAACGGCAGTCATCAACACCATGCAACAATTTCAGACAATGCGCAACCCAAAACAAATCAAAGAGCGGAAGAGAATTAATTAGAAGGATAAAATAACACCGGGGTTATTTATCAGACCCGGATGTGCGAAGATATAACACGACTGACTGGTGGCTTTGTTATTAACGGGTGTGACGTCTGAGTAGTTGCCGCGTAGTGTTTAACAAGTATTCTTATTAACCTCTCTTACTCTTATTCTCTCTTTCCTCTCTTTGTCTATTCCGTCACCCGTCAAGTGGATGAGACAAGAGAAAGTAAGGGGAGATGTGTGTGAGAGAGAGGAAATGAGAGGGAAGTGGGGAATGGGAGGGAGGAAAGGATGGAAGGAAGAGTAAAGTGAGGAATGGGAGGAAACGAATGATTTTCTTTCCCGCTAGTTTCTTGTGCACCCAAAACTCATCCTGTGAGCTGTAGCGTCAAAAAGTCTTATAGAAGAGAGGTGACAAAGGGCATTTACCAGACCCCAGTGATCAGGATAGTGTGCCGTTCCATGTTATAGTGCAGGGGTTCTTAACCAGGGGGGAATTTCCCCCCTCAGGTTTTCAGGGGGGGGGGGGAAACTGATACTAATATGGAAAAAATAAAGGATTTTCAGTATTATATGCATATTATTTGGAATGCACTTTTTGAGGCAGACAATCTTGGAAAGGAGGGGGAATGACATTCTGACATATGGTGAAAGGGGTGCATGGGGCAAACAAGGTTGAGAACCACTGTTATAGTGTTTCTTGCCCCCTAAAAGGTTCTATTTTATCACAGTTTAGGGAGTAGTGTTCGGCTCTGTGTGTAAACAATAAACAGAAGGAAACTCACAGTACTAAACCTTCCACCATTCGGTTACTCCACCAAAACACGACATTATAGACACTGAGGCAGATAATCTTATTCCTTACAGTAAACAAATGAAAAAAAAAAACTAAATAAATAAATAAAATAATGCGCTTTTTCATCCGGGAACTAATGCCTTTAACTCAACTTCAACAAAACAAGAAAGATCTCACTTAACCAGCTTCTCAAGTGTATAAATTCTGAAATGTCTTCCCCACCCCCCACCAGACAAAAGACAATCACATGTAGTAAGAGGGTCCGACTCTCTCTCTCTCTGGTAAATAAAGGCAAAACACACACTCGCCCACAAACCGATTTCAAAACATCACCTGCCTCTGCCAACTCCGTAAAACATTAAAATTTGATTTTTGGAAGGTACAGACAGACAGCCCTCGTCGTCGCTTACAAACAAAATACCTCCAGCCTTTGTTCAGTCGGTTGGTACTGAGGTAATATTCGCGCGAGACTTAACAACCGTAAAAAAATATTACTCTATTCTACATTAAAAGAAGCTATTTTTAACTATATAATATTTAGTATGCTTAAAAAATACGTTTCATAATTCTGAGTGTGTATTCCTGGGACGATTTTAAAGAACAATATAGATGAGAAAATGTTGGAGTCCGGACAGTTTGTTAGCTGGCTGCACTACTTGACGAAAGGTTTAATGACAGTGGGATTTGAATGATACAGCCGTAGATTTTTAAGTAATTTCATGCACGTAACACTACAGAATGTTATAAAGTTGTGTTTGTACAGTCAATGTTCAAAATTCTCTCTCTCTGTATCATAATCTAGCGTAGAGTTGCATCTATCAAGTGCGGTAGCTACCAAACTATGTTAGACTTGTCCCACGGAAAAACAAACATGGGTGGCGAGTAACTAGAGTTAGAAAAGTAATTAAATTTTCTGAGGTGTCATTTGGAGAAGTAATTATACAGATATCAAATTGCAGACAACAGCTCCTTAGTCAGCGCGTTCAAAAGTTCATATATTGAGACTTTGAACAAAACGGTGTGATTAAGATTATGGGGAGGAGAGACAAATTAAATTATGCTAAAAAATCTCAGTGTAGGTCGTCCTCAACATCCTGAATTAGAATCTGTGGTCGAAATGTTGATCATTAATTGTCCTATTTGTCCCTGGAATAATGATTTTGATAATTAATTGTGCTAATTACTTGGACGACACTTCATTATCAGAATTCCATCTTTTTGGTCACGGTTCCTCCACCAGCGGGTCGACGACTACTAATACTAATATATTAAGCAAATCTTCGACACACAAAAAAAGGCTAAAACCAGTTGTTTACAGAAGCCAACCCCGCAAGGACCTCCCCCTCCCCCCTCCCGAGTGATGAGACGTATTTTCGCAACACCATGTACAGTATACTGGTGTGAGGTGACCCAAAACAACTAGACCTATACGGGTACTGTACAGGTAACATAAACTGTATTTAAAAGGAATATATCAGTATTAACAAGAGGACTGTGCTGGATGGTTCTAACAGTATGGGGGTTGCGAGTGTGTGTGTGTGTGGACGGATAACCTTATAGCTAACTTTACCTAAAAAAACGAGCAGAAACATTTTCAGTAAAAGTTCACTGACCATTGCAACATCCCCCTCTGACTCCGCCCATCCCCCACCCACCCGCCCTACACCCACCCCGCCCACCCATGACTTAACCTCTAAGAATTGGGATGAAAACAGAAAATAAGACTCTCACTTATAACAATATAATGGGAAAACAGAGAAAGAAAATCCAATATATTGTTTCTAAAACCTAATTATTTAGTTATATTTCGCCTCTCGTCACAATATACACGTCATCTGTCACTGTTTTCCCCGTGTTGACCTCTGACCGATCTTGTGGTGTACACGGTGACCTCTGACCGATCTTGTGGTGTACACTGTGACCTCTGACCGATCTTGAATGTCAACACAGGCTTTGGGGGAAGAAGCGTGACCCATAAGAACATAATGCACAGAGTCTGAAGGTCACACACACACACACACACACACACACACACACACACACACACACACACACACACACACACACACACACACACACACACACACACACACACACACACACACACAGCATATAAATATAAGAGACCTGCCAGGGCAATATGTACAAATTATACATGTGTGTATGTACAGGTATGTATGTGAGGTCAATATAATTTCCCCTTACACCCACCATTCCCCTGACCCTGATGACACCCCCTCCCTGACACCTCCTTCCCCTACACCCCCCAACAGCCTGGATCACTTGCCGCCAGCGTGACATTCCCAGTGAAGGGGACGACCCGGTCTTTGTGGGAGTCACGCCCCCATGACGGTAAAACGGGCCGCCATCCTGCCCCCTCCCTCCCCACCCTACATGAAAGCCAATGTTGATGACGAAAACAACGAAAACATTTACCTCTCTTTTTACTCCTTCATTGTCGTCTGTTTTTTCCCTCTCTATCTGTCTGTCTGTCTCTCTATCTATCCCTCTCTATTTTACGTTCAATCTGTCTATTTCTGTCTACCATCCTCAATTTTCTGTCTAATATAAAATTGGGCCTAAAAAACAATACACACATACGCACACACACAGACAAACATATATACATACATACATCCAAACAAACAAACACACAACACAACCTAAATAAACACACAACACAAACAAGCAAGCAAACAAACACGCAACACAACCCAAACAAGAAAGCAAACAAACACGCAAGCAAACAAACACGCAACACAACCCAAACAAGAAAGCAAACAAACACTCAACACAACCCAAACAAACACACAACACAAACAAGCAAGCAAACAAACACTCAACACAACCCCAAATAGCAAACAATACAAACACACTACGTAAAACCTTCCATAAATTAGGAGATAAAACAGAGCGGCCATGTTTGTGGTGTGTTTGAGGTAAACACTACACGAGGCAGGGAAAAAGCACCACAGTTTCTTCCCCAGTCAGTCTCTAAAGTTCCCGAGACGTGGAGAGACGAAAATTTTCCCTTCAACCCCGGGGGAAAAATCGTGTTTACATTGATGATGAGGGGGGAGGGGGTATAGTGAGGGGGGGGTAGTAGGGGGGTAGTAGGGGGGGGTAGTGGTGGGGGGAGGGGGCAGTGGTGGGGGGAGGGGGTAGTGGTGGTGGTGGTAGTAGTAGTATGGTACGGTAGGCCAGTAGAAGGTTTGCCCTCCCAATGCGTGTGTGGCTCTTCTTATGACGTCGATCAGCCATGGTGTGCAAGAAAGGGGGCTTCATATGCATGAGGCATGACGAAGTAAGGGACCTCACAGTAAATATGTTTAAGGAAATCTGCCGGGATGTCATGGTAGAACCGACCCTCCTTCCATTGGACGGTGAGATCTTCCAACATAGGACTTCAAACACATCCAACGAAGCCCGTGTGGACGTCAGTGCTCGAGGATTCTGGACGCGGGGACAGCGAGCTTTCTTCGACATCAGGATTTTTGATCCCATGGCCGCATGTCACCGTAACCTAGCTCTCGATGCTGCACACAGGAGGAACGAGAACGACAAGATAAGGGCATATGGGGAGAGAATTCAGAACGTTGATCAAGGCAGCTTCACTCCTCTGTTGGGATGGGACCAAGTGCAAGATCCTTCTACGCCAGACTCGCGGAGGTGTTGTCCGAACAGAAGCAGCAGCCCAGAAGTTATGTTACAGCCTGGATGAGATGTCGACTGTCCTTCTCTCTCCTTAGATCTGCTTTGCTGTGCCTCAGGGAAACGAGAGCATCGGCCCCAAAGCCGACAACTGCTGCAGATATTGACTATGAGGCAACAGTCACTGAATGCCGCATAGGTCTGCGGCTCAACTAACTCAACACAGCTAGGATAGCTACTTATGTATTATGAGATTTAATATTAAGGTAATAAAATGGTGGCGAAGGTGTGGCTATTGGGGGAGACTGGAGGCCACGCTGTAAAAAAAAAGTAGTAGAAGTAGTGGTGGTAGTAGTAGTGGTGGTGGAAGTAGTGGTGGTAGTAGTAGTAAGTTAGTTCACATCCTTCGCTATCTCTCGTGTTATTTCCTGTTGTTTTCCCTCCAATTATTGTATTTCCCTCTTTCGTTCTTGTCATCCATCCTCTCTCAACCTCTTTATCATCACTTTTTCTCCTCTCTTATGTTGTTTACTCTCTCTCTCTCTCTCTGGGTCTTTATACTCAGTGTCCTCCTCTGTGACACCCCTCCCCCACACCCCGTCCCCCTCTCACTTAGCTTACACCCCTCCCCTCTCCTTAGCACCCCTCCCCCTCAGCCTACACCCCTTCCCCCTCACCCCCTTCCCCCCGCCAGAGATCAAAGGCAGGTGCACTATAGCCGGGTGGTAAACGCTACAGGGAAAAGTCTTGTGAGCCAATATCCTCTATTTTGTCACTCTGTCTCACTCACTCACTCACTGTCAATCACTCTGTCTCTCTGTCTGTCTTATTCACTCTCTCTCTCTCGCTTTGTTAATGTATCTTTATAATTACACGTGAGAGTCCACATCCAAAGACTCATTAGCCTAGAGCCTAAGACAAGCTGTGTGTGTGAGAGAGAGAGAGAGAGAGGTGAAGGGTATACTAACACAAGGGGGGAGGAGAGGAAGGGATGGGGAGGAGGAAGGGAAGAGGGAAGGAGGGGAGGATAGGAATTGAATTGAATTGGAACAGTTTATTTAGCGTTAAAAACACAGATACATAGTTTGTACAGTAATAAGGTTGAACAAGAGGACAGAGCTGTCAGGATTATGTCTAGTTGGCAATTATGTTTATTGCAATGGTAATTACTTATCTATTTACATGATAATTTCCGATAAAAGGTTTTGATGGAAGGAGAGGGAAGGAGGGGGAGGGGGAAGAGGGGAGGGGAAGAGGGGAGGGAAGAAGGGGGAAGAAGGGGAGAAGGAAGAAGGGGAGAAGGAAGAAGGGAGGGGGAAGAGAGGGAAGAAGAGAGGGTAAGAGGGGGAAGAATTAGTGTGTGATTCAGAACCTCACTTTATCTCTTTGATTAGAACTTGATTATGAAATCTGTTGGGAGTTGAGCTGAGATATTTGGCATACATGGCGGCGGCATCCACGACCCCCAGATGCCGGTAGTGGTTGTTTCCCCAATCACAACACCTCCCGCTTTAACAACATCCTCACAGCACCAGCAGCCTCACACCTTCACATACTCAACTCGTGAAAGCATAAAACAAACGCGACTGAACACTGTTGGGGGTCGAGCGTAAGACTGTAAAGAAAGGCGTCCGAAGTCAGGCTCCAGCAGTCGGGACGAGGCGCGCAAGATCAAAGATGGCGAGGAATGTGTATGATGGGTAGCGTCGACCCGTTGCCATCTGAGTTGTCCTTGCTTAAGCCTGGCCTCCCTTTGAAGACGGTGATAGTATTCTAGGAAGTCCTCTGCGGTGTCAGAGATACACATCTTGGCACGATGGATTGCCAAAGAATAGGAAAGTAAGCAAAACAGTGTAGAATGGATCAATAACGTCACTACAACAACACAACACAAGCAAGAGATGACTCTTTCCGGGATGCTCTACTCTCCAATTTACGCATTTTAATCTAACAGCGATGCCATTTAGCTGCGATAATAGCAGAGGCAGTAAACGAACTCTAAACAAGGAGGAGCATTGTTACTTTGTGAGACGGGACGAGAAATTCCCTGTAATCTCCCCAGACCTTAAAATAGGCGAGTGTTCCCCCGTAGAGGTGCGTGGTGCAAGAAGTCTAGGGTACAACTACCACCTCCTCTCTCACTGCACCATAGACCACTACCTTCTATAACAAATTAAACCATAATAAAACACATTAAATACCATACAGGAAGAATAAAAGTGAGTACGTGTGTGTAGGGGCACTGTAAGGCCAAACGCGCCACATCATGCTCTGCTCCAGCTAGACTCCATATGGTACAAAGATGTCTGTGACTTTAGCATTTACGGGACGCCCTATTTTGTGTTCTTTAGGTTTGTCGCTGGTCGTGGTAATGGTGTAGCAATCTGGTGTATGACTCTTTGTGTGTCTCTCTTCACTCGTTATGTATGGGCCATCCGTATAGCCACAATGTGCTCAGCCTGCGATACATCATTCATCTGGCAGGTGTTTTGGGTTTCACATCTGTCACGGGTAAGACATAATGGTCGTTGGCTCTCTCCTGCCCTGTCTGCCACGCCTCCCCCTCTCTCTCTCTTCCTTGCTCTCTCTCTCTTTCCATACTCCTCTTTCTTCTTTCTTCACCTCTATGCATCTTTATTATTTTCTCTCTTTGAAGTGTTTGTCTTTTCTAATATTTATCTTTTCTCTTATCCATATTTACCTTCTTACATCCCTCTTCTCTCTTATATATCTCATCCCTCCTTCATATCCTTCATCCCAGCTTCTACTTCCTCGCGTCCTGCCTCAGCTGTGACCGACATATGATCTGTCACAAGGCGGGATAATGGCCAGACAGACATTACCCCCTCCCCCACCTCCTCCTCCCCGCCGGAGCGCTTGATACACGCTGGTGACGCTACTCCATAACTCCACCTCACATTATCGATTATATTATTATTTTTCTCTTAATATCTCAATAACTTTTCTCTATTATAAAAAAATAATATTTAATACCGAATAAAACTACGCAACATAACCCGGGTTTAACGACACTGATTCACCCACTTACTCCACCCCTTCAGGATGACGACACAGGACTCTCTCATGACTCGTAGCTGTGTGACGTAGTGGCTGAGGGGGTGACGATTAGCATATGTGTGTCTGTGTTTTTGTATCGTTAATTATTATTCACGGATAAAATTATAAAGTGCTTTGGGTCCGAAATCTCTGACATAAGCACCAATATTACTTTTTTTTGGGGGGTCTGCTTGAGGAGGAGAGGAAGAGAAGGAGGTGAATTTAGTTTAGGATATTATTCAACGTGAGGACAGAAGTAATAACACACTGTCGCCCACCCACGTAGTAGTAGTAATAGTAGTAGTAGTAGTAGTAATAATAATAATAATAAGGAGAGAGAGAGAGAGAGAGATTTACCTGTTTGTTGTTCCGTCTCCACCTCATCTTGACGACAATGACCAAACAGACGAGACAGATGAGGAGGAAACAGGTGAGGAAGATGCCCAGGTCGAAGTGGTCCCTCGCTGGCGGGATCTCTATACGGGCGTGTGCAGAGAGGGGCTCCCTGGGTGACGAAAATGGCGGTCACTTTATATACAAAATACTTAATTTATGGATATATTGGAAACTTTACACACACACACACACATACACACACACATACATACATATATACACACATACATATATATATACATACATACATACACTACACATTACTACGATGTTTATTCGTGTATAATAAAACAACTTCACAATTGTCAAGTTAACGCGGGAATCACAAACACACACACACACACACACACACATCCATAAAAGCATACTCACACACATGTACACATACTTTATATCAATGCACATTTTCTCTGACATTCTCACGTGGTTGCATGTAAACACACACACACTCACACATGTATACGGCCTCCTACAGACGTACACTGAGTTTAGAGCTCTACATAAAGCACTACATACACTGGTCCTATACAGCGCCCTACACAACCCTTAAAATAGCCCTACAGAACCCCTTAAAATAGCCCAACAGAACCCCTTAAAATAACCCAACAGAACCCCTTAAAATAGCCCAACAGAACCCCTTAAAATAGCCCTACAGAACCCCTTAAAATAACCCAAAGAACCCCTTAAAATAGCCCTACAGAACCCCTTAAAATAGCCCTACAGAACCCCTTAAAATAGCCCAACAGAACCCCTTAAAATAGCCCTACAGAACCCCTTAAAATAGCCCTACAGAACCCCTTAAAATAACCCAACAGAACCCCTTAAAATAGCCCTACAGAACCCCTTAAAATAGCCCTACAGAACCCCTTAAAATAGCCCTACAGAACCCCGATAAAGGGAAGTACCAGAGGAAGGGCACTCACATAATAAAGCTGTAGAGTTTGCGAGCCTGAGTGGGCAGTAGAACCACCAGAGGACGCTTGAGGGTGTCTCTGGCGGCGTCCACATCGAACAGTTCCTCCTGTGCGGACACCAGGTCATCGATGTCCACCAGTAGCGCTGTGGCACCTCGTTCAATGGCATACCGGGCCTGAGCATAGAGAAAACTGGGGTTAGGTTAGGTTGACGTCTAGTGGGGAATGGTTAAGGTCTTGTGGGGTCTGGTTAAGGTCTTGTGGGGTCTGGTTAAGGTCTTGTGGGGTCTGGTTAAGGTTTTGTGGGGTCGGGTTAAGGTCTTGTGGGGTATGGTTAAGGTCTTGTGGGGTCTGGTTAAAGTCTTGTGGGGTCTGGTTAAGGTCTTGTGGGGTCTGGTTAAAGTCTTGTGGGGTCTGGTTAAGGTCTTGTGGGGTCTGGCTGCCATAGTGTTTATTATTTACGGGAAGGAAATTCTTAATTACAGGCAGACAAGGTGTACTGTAATTCTAGACGGATTACAGGTACAAAAACGTGTATATTAGGCTATTACAGAGTCCACAGGTGTAGGTCCCCCCACACCTGTCCCTGGCCACACACCTGTCCCTGGCCACACGTGTATCATCTACAACCCCTGACACCTGTTGGCAGGATTAATTATTACCTGTTGACATGTACTTCCAGACCAGGTGTTACTTCCCCCCTCCACACCTGCCCCCCTCCCCCCTCCTCCCCCACACAGCTCCCGGGTTTAACTACGTCACACGCGCCTCCCCTCCCTCCTCACCCTCTCCTCTCCCCTTGAGTACACAGGACATTAACCCCGTGAGTACACAGGACATTAACCCCTTTAGTACACAGACATTAACCCCTTTAGTACATTATGACATTAACCCCTGGACACAGACATTAACCCCCCTGAGAGTACACAGGACATTAGTACACAGACACACCCCTTTAGGACATTAACCCTTGAGTACACAGGACATTAACCCCTTAATTACACACACAGGACATTAACCCCTTGAGTACACACAGGACATTAACCCCTTGAGTACACAGGGACATTAACCCTTGAGTACACAGGACATTAACCCTTAATTACACAGGACATTAACCCCTTGAGTACACAGGACATTAACCCCTTGAGTACAGGACGACAACTTGTAGTGCAGGACATTAACATTAACCCCGAGTGCACAGGACATTAACCCCTTGAGTACACAGGACATTAACCCTTGAGTACACAGGACATTAACCCCTTGAGTACACAGGATATTAACCCCTTGAGTACACAGGACATTAACCCCTTGAGTACACAGGACATTAACCCCTTGACACAGGACGACAACCCGCGGGTACAGGACATCAATTAACCCCTTAAGTACAGTTGGACGTAACCCCTTGAGTACACAGGACATTAACCCCTTGAGTGCACAGGACATTAACCCCTTGTACACAGGACATTAACCCCTTAACTAGTACACAGGACATTAACCCCTTAGTACACAGGACATTAACCCCCTATACAGGACATTAACCTTGAGTACACAAGACATTAACCCTTTAGTACACACAGGACATTAACCCCTTTGAGTACACAGGACATTAACCCCGAGCATACAGGACATTAACCTTTGAGTACAGGACATTAACCCTGAGTACAGAACATTAACCAAGAATCCCTCTTTTGAGTACACAGGACATTAACCCCTTTAGGCAGGACATTAACCTGTGAGTATTATTAGTGACATTAACCCCTTCAGTACACAGGACATTAACCCCTTCGTACATAGGACATTAACCCGTGAGTATTATTGGACATTAACTTTGAGTACACAGGACATTAACCCCTTAATTACACAGGTGACATTAACCCCTTGAGTACACAGGACATTAACCCTTAACCCCTTGCACAGGACATTAACCCCTTAACCCCTTGAGTACACAGGACACAACTTCTTGCCAGTGCCTGGGACCCTTGAGTACAGGACATTAACCCCTTGAGTACACAGGACATTAACCCTTGGAGTACACAGGGACATTAACCCCTTCCAGTACACAGGACATTAACCCCTTCAGTACACAGGACATTAACCCCTTGAGTACACAGGACATTAACCCCTGAGCACACAGGACATTAACCCTTGATTACAGGACAACCCCTTGAGTACACAGGACATTAACCCTGAGCACATTAGGACATTAACCCTTCAGTACACAGGACATTAACCTTCTTGAGTACATGAGACATTAACCCCTTCAGCACACAGACATTAACCCTTAGCACACAGGGACATTAACCCCTTTTACACAGGGACATTAACCCTTTAGTACACAGGACATTAACCCTTCAGTACAGTTTAATTAACCTATCTTCTCCTTCCTTTTTAAACACAATTTCAGATGTTTTCTCTCTTGTGTGTGTGTGTGTGTGTGTGTGGTGTGTGTGTGTGTCAGTGTGTGTGTGTGTGTGTGTGTGTGTGTGTGTGTGTGTCAGTGTGTGTGTGTGTCATAGCTGGCGCCAGAGTGACTATTTGCTTCTTAATTACTACGCACATAGACACACACATACTGTACACATCCCTACCTCCCACACTCATACATACATATATAAACACATAATAATAATACAACAGCAACAATATAAGTGAATAATAATTTCTGAATAATCAAACCAATTAAACTGAATAACAATATGTATGATAACCAAGACAATTTATAATAAACAGTATTTACACCACCAGTACAGAGCACACACACAGGAAAGGGTCATAGATTAGGTAGTGTTGATGGCTGGCTTTACTGGGGGGCAAGAGGCGGTCATTATGGGGGGGCAGGGGGGGGGCTGATGGTGACCACTATAAGGGCTGGGGGGCTGGCGATGGTGGTGGCAGCAGCAAGCGGCCCCCAGACGACAGGCGATAATAATAAACATCAAAGTAAGGTGTTCCTCACGCCAAGCGAAACGTTGACGCCTCCGTTTCCCTGCACCAAGTTCACCACGACCCGACCTTGTCTCCCAGGCTATTTACATCCTTCCTTCATTCTCCAGTGGCTATATTTACACCGTCTGGGGAGCATTAAACGCCTATTTTGGTATAAGGTTATTGGAAGAATGATTTAGTGGCCTGGTGCTAGGTTAGGGGGGGGGGGAAGCCGGAGTCAAGGTCACGAACACAGTTATCACATCTCTGCTCTACTTCCAAAACACGGTCCCTCCCCCCGCGGCTGCTGCTGGTATTTTAGCGACAACTTACACCACTGACTGACTACATGTACACCACACTACACTTAACACACCACATCACACGTACGCCACACCATTGACTGACTACATGTACACCACACCACACTTAACACACCACACTACACTTACGCCACACCACTGACTGACTACATGTACACCACACCACACTTAACACACCACATCACACGTACGCCACACCACTGACTGACTACATGTACACCACACCACACTTAACACACCACATCACACGTACACCACACCACTGACTGACTACATGTACACCACACCACACTTAACACACCACACTACACTTACGCCACACCATTGACTGACTACATGTACACCACACTTAACACACCACATCACACATACGCCACACCACACCACAATATACTATACACATAAACAGTGGGTCATGTATATAAATAAACAATTATACACCCCTTGTTTAAATCGTGTATATAAAACTTTTAATATTTCTTCACATGAACAAATAACTTCCATTGTTTATAACTTACCATTACTTATGACAAAAATAAACAGAGATAAATAAACAAGAAAAATTTTGATAATTTTAACTTTATGGTGACCGAGTGTGTGTTGGCATAAGATGACACTAAGATGACGTGTATAAGATAACACTAAGATAACGTGTATAAGATAACACTAAGATAACGATTATAAAATAACACTTAGATGACGTGTATAAGATAACGAGTATAAGATAACACGAATAGCTTTGTTACTTGATGATGATGATGATAATAAACTCCGAAACACGCAGACATACACAAGTTGACAGCTACAGTACACACACACACACACACACACACACACACACACACAGACACAGACACACACACACACACACACGAACAATGAAAACAAAGGTACCAATAAGAATTTTTAGAAGTTAAATGAGCGATGCTGAGTATGTACCCCATCCAACGTCTCGTCTCCCACACACTCCCAGAATACAACTGTCTGTACGTGTGTGTACGTGTGTGTGTGTGTGTATCCTCCCAAGACATGACTCACGTGACAGTGTGGTGTAAACAATGTAAACAATAGCCATAAAGCTCATCTCAGTGGCAAGGCAGGTGGGAGGAACGACCATGTGTGTCAGAGGAGGGAGAGTGAGGCGTTACTTGTTGCCTTGATGTCAGAAGTGAGGGTGTTGTGTGTGTGTGTGTGTGTGTGTGTGTGTGTGTGTGTGTGTGTGTGTGAGAGGGAGAGGGTAGTTAGGTTAGAAATCGCTGGGAGTGTTTGTACGGGCAGTGTTTTGGTCGCTGGGAGTGTTTGTACGGGCAGTGTTTGGTTGCTGGGAGTGTTTGTACGGGCGAATGTTTTGGTCGCTGGGGGTGTTTGTACGGGCAGTGTTTTTGGTCGCTGGTAGTGTTTGTACGGGCAGTGTTTTGGTCGCTGGTAGTGTTTGCGGGCAGTGTTTTGGTTGCTGGGAGTGTTTGTACGGGCAGTGTTTTGGTCGCTGGGAGTGTTTTGGTTGCTGGGAGTGTTTGTACGGGTAGTGTTTTGGTCGCTGGGAGTGTTGTAGACAGTGTTTTGCGAGTGTTTGTATGGACAGTGTTTTGGTCGCTGAGGTGTTTGTATGGACAGTGTTTTGGTTGCTGGTGTTTGTATGGACAGTGTTTTGGTCGCTGGGAGTGTTTGTATGGACAGTGTTTTGGTTGCTGGGAGTGTTTGTATGGACAGTGTTTTGGTCGCTGGGAGTGTTTGTATGGACAGTGTTTGGTTGCTGGGAGTGTTTTGGTGTTTTGTGGTGTTTGTAGGTGTTTGTTGCTGGGAGTGTTGTATGGACAGTGTTTTGGTTGCTGGGAGTGTTTGTATGGACAGTGTTTTGGTTGCTGGGAGTGTTTGTATGGACAGTGTTTTGGTTGCTGGGAGTGTTTGTATGGACAGTGTTTTGGTTG